TTTTCCCAAAATCCCCGTTTTTTTCTTCGTTTTTCCCGCCGGTTTCTGTATTTATGGGGGTCCCCCCCTTTTTGGGGGGATTTTCCCCCGTTTTGGGGTTTTTCCCCCCCCCGGGTTCGGGGCCTCCCCTCCCCCACCCCCCCAACCCCCCGCGGCTCTTTTCCAAAAATTCAATAAAAATCTCGTTTTTTTAAGGTTTTCTAACCAAAACGGGAATTTCTGCGCGCCGGGAAACGGCGGGGGGGAAATGGGGGAAAAAAGGGGGAAATTGGGAAAAATAGGGAGAAATTGGGGGAAATGGGAAAAAAATGGGAAAAATTGGGGGGAAATTGGGAAAAATGGGAAGAAAATTTAGAAAATTGGAAGAAAATGGGGAAAGTGGGGGAAAAATGGGGGAAATTGGGCAAAATTAGGAAAAAATGGGGGAAATAGGGAAAAGAATTGGGGAAAATGGGAAAAAATTGGAGGAAATTAGGAAAAATGGGGGAAATGGTGAAAAATGGGAAGAAAATGGGAAAAGTGGGGGGAAAATGGGGGAAATTGGGCAAAATTGGGAAAAAATGGGGGAAATTGGGAAAAGAATTGGGGAAAATGGGGGGAAATTGGGGAAAATGGGGGAATTGGGAAAAATGGGAAAAAATGGGGGGAAATTAGGAAAAATGGGGGAATTGGGGAAAAATGGGAAGAAAATGGGAAAAGTGGGGGGAAAATGGGGGAAATTGGGAAAAATTGGGAAGAAATGGGGAAAAATGGGGGAAATGGGGAAAACGGGAAAAAATGGAGGGGAATTGGAAAAAATGGCAGGAAACTGGGAAAATGTGGGGAAAATGAGGAAAAAATGGGAGAATTGGGGAAAATGGGGGAAATTGGGAAAAATTGGGAAAAATGGGGGAAATAGGGAAAAATGGGGGAAAATTGGGAAAAAATGGGGACAAAATTGGAAAATCTGGGAAAAATGGGGAGAAATGCGTTGGGATTGGGTAAAACCGGTTCAAACTGGGCCCAGACCGTTTTAAATCACCCCAAACCGGTTTAAATCACCCCAAACCAGTTTAAATTTCTCCAAACCGTTTTAAATCACCCCAAATCAGTTTAGGTTGCCGCAGACCAGTTTACATTTGTCCAAACCAGTTTAATTCGGCCCAAACCAGTTCAAAAGTCCCCAAACCAGTTTAAATTTCCTCAAACCAGCTCAAATCACCCCAAACCGCTTTAAAAGGCCCCAAAATCAGCGCGAAATGAGTCCCGCCCTCACTGTTTGATTGACAGCGCCGCTGTCCAATCACCAACCTCGCTCGTCTCTATTTGTCCAATCAGAACCCGCATTGAGCTCTTTGCCCCGCCCCACCCCCGATCCTCCGGCGGCTGTCTACGCATGCGCACACCTCCCCGCGCGGTTCGGGGGGCGGGCACTTCTCCAAGAGCCGGTCTGCGATTGGTTGAGCGCTATAACAGGCAGCTTGCGCAACCAATCAGCGCGATCGACACCACCCCCTTCTAGCCACTCTCCGCCTCTCCACCCCCTTCCCGCGCGGCGCCGCTGTACGCGCTGCCATTGGCTCAGCGTTTGATTGACAGCCGGCTGAGCCAATCACCGCGCGGTAACGGGCGGCGTGGGCGGGTTTAGCGGCGCTGGCGGCGCTGAGGGCGGCGCGGGCGCCATTTTGCGCTCAGCCCCCGGAGGAAGCGGCGGCGGCGGCGGCGGCAGCGCGGCGGTGCCCGGAGCGGTGAGGGGGCAGCGGGGGAGGCTCCGGGAGGGTCCCCGAGGGGCTCCGGGAGGGTTCGCGAGGCGGAGGAGCCGCCCGGAGGTGTCGGGAAAGGTTTTTGGGGGGTGGAAATGGCGGCGGCGCGTGAGGGAGCGAGGCGGGAAAAGGGGGGGGGGAGTGAGGGGCGCCCCCTCAGGGCCGCGAGGGGCGTGGCCAAACCCGCGGTGGGCGGGGCTACGCCCTCATTAACTAATTGCTCTGCGTAATTAACTAATGACTGCGCTGGGGGGGTGTAATTAACCCCTTCAGGGCCGGGATTTACCCCGCCGGGGGCGGGGTTTGGCTTTAGGGGCGTGGTTTTGTTCTGGGGGCGGGGTTTGACTTCCCGGGTTAATTAATTAATGAGCTCGCTCCGGGTTTAATTAACCCCTGCGGGGGCGGGGTTTGATTCCCTGAGGTAATTAATTAATTAACCCCTGCGTGGATGGGGCTGCCCCCTTCGTTGTGGAGGCGTGGTTTAGCCCTGATTAACATCTTAATTAATTAATTAACCTCTTGCGCGCCAGGCTGGGCCTAATTCTCTCCCTTTGGGGGCGTTCGTTTGCATAATTAACCCACCCAGGGGGCGTGGCTAATCGTTAAGGGGCTAATTAATGCTAATTAAGGATTAATAATGCTGCGAGGGGCGGGGCTAATTTAAATGTGGGCGTGGCCAAGCCTGGCTTTGGGGGCGCTTACTGAATTTGGGTCTTTAATTAAACCCCAAAAGCTTTAATTAAACCCCCAAAAAGCTTTAAATTATCTTCGAAAAGCTTTAATTAATCCCCCTAAATTTTTAATTAAGCCCCCCAAAAACTTTAATTAAATTAAACCCCCAAAAGCTTAAATTAAATCCCCAATTTTGGGAGCTCAGGTTCGGTTTTTGGCCTTTTCCCCCCAATTTTGGGACTAAGATTCGATTTTTTCCTTTTCCCCCCAATTTTGGGACTCAGGTTCGATTTTTGGCCTTTTCCCCCCAATTTTGGGACTCAGGTTCGATTTTTGGCCTTTTCCCCCCAATTTTGGGACTCTGGTTCAGTTTTTGGCCTTTTCCCCCCAATTTTGAGAGTCAGGTTCAATTTTTTCCTTTTTCCCCCCTGAGGGGTCCCGGGTGGTTTTTGGGGTATTTTTGGAGGTTTTTGGTTACTTTGGGGATAGTTCTGGGTGTTTTTTGGTGTTTTCAGGGGGTTTTGGTGTTTTTTAGGGGTATTTGGGTGATTTTTGTAGTTTTAGGGGGTTTTAGGAGTTTTTAAGCGGTTCCAGGCAGTTTTTGGTGAGTTTTTGAGGTTTTTGGTTGGTCTCAGGTGGTTTTGGGGTTTTTTTTAGGGGTTTTTGAGCAGTTCCAGGTGGTTTTTGGGGTTTTTTAATGAGCTTTTGATCAGTTCCTGGTGGGTTTTGGTTGATTTTAGTGGTTTTGGGGGTTTTTTAGGGTTTTTTTGGTTGGTTCCAAGTGGTTTTTGGGGTTTTTAGGGGATTTTGAGCAGTTCTAGGTGCATTTTGGGTTTTTTTGGTTTTTGGGGTGTTTTGGTGCGTTTTTGGGGCTAAATCCCAAATTCCCGCGTTCTCCAGGAGCTCCCATCTCATTTCTCCCCTTTTCTCCCCCAAAATTTTGATTTTTCAGGGGATTTCCCCCAGATTTCGGGGCCAGCCCCCAAATTCCCCCATTCCCCCTCAAATTTCCCTCCCCCCTCCCCCTCCTGCCTTAATTAAAGCTCCAAAGTCCCAAAATTCTCCTTTTTTCCCCCAAATGTGTGGCTTTGGGAGGGTGGAGGGGAATTCAGGGAGTTAAACCAGATTTTTGCCCAAAAACCCCAAAATTCGGGGGCAAAATCCCCAAATTTGGGGAAAAATCCCCCAAAATCAGGTACAAATCCCCCAAATTTTCTGTTTCTGCCCAAAATCAGAGGCAAAATCCCCAAATTCGGGGACAAACCCCCCAAATTCAGGGAGAAACCCCCAAATTTGGGGACAAATCCCCCAAAATCAGGTAAAATCCCCCAAATTTTCTGTTTCTGCCCAAATTCAAAAGCAAAATCCCCAAATTTGGGGACAAATCCCCCAAATTCAGGGAGAAACCCCCAAATTTGGGGACAAATCCCCCAAAATCAGGTAAAATCCCCCAAATTTTCTGTTTCTGCCCAAATTCAGGGGCAATACCCCAAAATTTGGGGTCAAACCCCTCAAGTTCTCCCATTTTTCCCAAATTCAGGCACAAACCCCCCAAATTCGGGATAAACTCTCCGAATTCTCCATTTCTCCCCAAATTCAGGGACAAATTTCCCAGTTTTGGGGACAAACCCCCAAAATTCTCCATTTCTCCTCAAATTTAGCTTCAAACCCTCCAAATTCAGGGACGACCCCCCCAAATTCCCAATTTCTTCCCAAATTTGGGGACGAACCCCCAAAATCTGGGGACAAATCCCCGAAAATCGGGTACAAACCCCCCAAATTCTCTGTTTCTCCCCAAATTTGGTTTTAAACCCTCCAAATTCAGGGACAAACCCCCAAATTCAGAGACAAATTCTCCAAATTCTCAATTTCTCCCCAAATTCAGGGACAAATTTCCCAGTTTTGGGGACAAACCCCCCAAATTCTCTGTTTCTCCCCAAATTTGGTTTCAAACCCCCCAAATCAGGGACAACCCCCCCAAATTCGGGGACAAACTCCGAATTCTCAATTTCTCCCCAAATTCAGGGACAAATTTCCCAGTTTTGGGGACAAACCCTCCAAATTCAGGGACAAACTCTCCAAATTCTCCATTTCTGCCCAAATTTGGGGACAAATCTCCCAGTTTTGGGGACAAACCCCCCAAATTCTCCATTTCTCCCCAAATTTCGGCATTTTCTCCGCCCACTCCGAAAACTCGCCTTTTTCACCCCAAAACCCCCCGTATTCCCCCTCCCCCACCCCGCCGTGAGTGGGGGGGGGGGAGGGGTTGTGGTTGGGTGGGGGGAGGGGTCACCCACACCCCCCCCCAAATTTTGGGGTTGTGGGCGTGGCCTCGGCGGTGGGGGCGGGGCCTGGGGGGGGAGGGGGGAGGGGTCGCTGAAATTTCTCTCCTTCCACAGGGCCCAGGAGGCGATCCCGGACCGGCCCCTCCCCCACCCCTCCCCCACCCCTCCCCCACCCCTCCCCTCCCCCTTTTCCCGCCCGATTTTGGAGGTTTTTACCCCAAAAAACGGGAATTTTAACTCAAAAACAGCGCGGGGTGGGGAGGGGCCGGTGGCGGTGGGGGAGGGGCGCCGCTGGGGGCGGGGCCTGAGCGCGGTGTGGGGGAGGGGCCCCCGAGCCCTCCCCCCCCCTCCAAATTTGCCATTTTTTTGTCTCTTTTTTGTCCACAGCGCGATTTTTTTGAGCCGGCGCGGCGACCGTAAGTTCCAAACGTTTTCCTGCTTTTTTTTTTTTTTTTTTAAGTGGGTTTTTTTATTTTTTTATTTTTTTGGGGTTTTTTTTTTTTTTTTAATTGTTGTTGTTTTTGTGGGTTTTTTCCCCCCCCTCCCCCACCGCCTTTCTCTCTCTCTCTCCCCTCCCCCCCCACCCAAAACCTTTTAATTCCTCCCCCGTCATTTAAAAAAAATTTAAATGCATTTAAATATATGCAAATTTTGCCCCTCCCATGCCCACAAGCTCCTCCCCCAACCCAACTGGGTGTTCCCCCCCCACCCACAGCCCCAAAACTGCCTCAAAGTGGCCCAAAACGGCCCCAAAATGGCTGAAAAATGCCCAAAATGGCTGAAAACGGCCCAAAATGGCGGAAAACGGCCCAAAATGGCTGAAAATGGCCCAAAATGGCTGAAAACGGCCCTAAAACTGCCCCAAAATGGCAGAAAATGGCCCAAAATGGCTGAAAACGGCTGAAACGGCCCAAAATGGCTGAAAACGGCTGAAACAGCCCAAAACGGCCTCACATGGCTGAAACGGCCCCAAAATGGCCCAAAATGGCCCAAACTGACCCCAAAACGGAGCAGGAGGGGGCGGGGCTTAGCCCCTCCCTTGCCCCTCCCCCCCCCCCGGTATTTTCAGGGGTTTGAGGGGTTTTGATAATTTTTAATTTTTTTTTTTTCCGATTTTTTTGTTTTGAAGTTTTTATTTTTAAAGGCTTTCCCCGAAATTTTTATTTTTAATTTTTAATTTTTTTTTAATTTTTTGGCCTCTTTGGGCCAAGCCCCGCCCCCTTTAGCGCTCAAGCCCCGCCCCCTCCCTTGGCCACGCCCCCTTTGGCCCCGCCCCCTCCCCTTGGCCCCGCCCCCTTTGCCGCCGCCGACCCACGGACGCCCCTCCCCCCACGGTAAGAATATGCAAATTAGCACTAATTAAATCCCCGACCGATCAATCGGGACCCCTCATTAGGGACCTGGTGCTAATTAGGGGTGTTAATTAGGCGTTTTAAGTAATGAGTGGGCGTTACAGTGCTCATTAGCATAATCCACGCAATGCTTGTTAGGGTAATTAATCTCTTGTTAGGGATTTGGCACTAATTAGGAATGTTAATTAGGCATTGTTTGGTTTTAGAATGCTCATTAGCATAATTAATTCATTAGCCGAGGTCAAAGGACAGCAGCAGCGCTAATTAGAGTTCCTGGTTGTATGCTAATGATGCCTTTAATTAACAAGCAGGGTGTTTAGTTAATGTTCATTAACGAGGGTTAATATTCATTAGTGAGATTAATATTCATAGGAAATATTAATTAGCATGTCTGAGGCAGTGATCATTAGTGAGGGCTGAATAATTACCCTAATTATTAAGGGGTATTAGTGTAATTATTGAGGGTTAGGTAATTACCTTAATTACTGAGGATTGGGTAATTACCATAATTAACAACGACTGGATAATTACCGTAATTATTGAGGGCTGGATAATTACTGTAATTAAGGAGGGGCGGGACTAACGAACAGCGCTCATTAACAAAACGCATTAAGGATGGTGATGGGGTGGGCCTTAGGTGTTTTTTATGCAAATTAGATGCTAATTGGGGCTGCTGAGGGTGACCATTAGGCTGTTTATGCTAATTAGATGGTAATTAGAGTAGATGAGTTAGCCATTAGGTGCTGTTTATGCTAATTATATACTAATTGGGGGTGATGAGTTGGGTGTAGGGTGACATTTATGCAAATTAGATGCTAATTTGGGACCTCAGGGTTTGGCCTTGTGTGCTGGGTATGCTAATTATATGCTAATTAGAGGCGATAAGTTGCCCTTAGGTGCCATTTATGCTAATTAGATGCTAATTGGGCTTGATATGTTTGCATGATTTGCTGTTTATGCTAATTAGATGCTAATTGGGGCGGGGGGGGAGTTCTTGGGGGGTTCTGGAACTTTCTGGGGGTTCCCACAAATTTTTGGGCGTTTTGCGTCATTTTTGGTGTTTTTTGGGTGGTTTTGGATGTTTTTTGGAAGATTTCGGGCGGGTTTTGGGTGAATTTCAGGTTTTTGGAACTTTTTGGACGTTTTTGGAACTTTTCGGAGATTTTTGGAACTTTTTGGGTGGTTTTTGGACGTTTTTGGGTGGTTCCATGTGGGTTTTTTTTTTTTACGTTTTTGGGCGGATTTTGGAGGTTTTTGGGTGGTTCCATGTGTTTTTTTTTTTTTAATGTTTTTGGGCGGATTTTGGAGGTTTTTGGGAGTCTTTGGGCGTTTTTCGGGAAGTTTTTGGGTGGTTCTGGGGTGGTTTTTTTGGGTGGTTTTTGAGTGTTTTTTGGGAATTTTTTGCCATTCCCCACCCCGAGACTGACCACGCCCACACTGAAAAAATGGGGAAAATTGGGAAAAATTGGGAAAATTGAGAAAAAACAGGAGGAAATTGGGAAAATTGGGGAAAATTAGAAAGCAATGGGGGAAATTGGGAAAAATGTGGGGAATTGAGGAAAAATTGGAAGAAAATTGGGAAAATGGGAAGAAAATGGGAAAAGTGGGGGGAAAATGGGGGAAATTGGGTAAAATTGGGAAAAAATGAGGAAAATGGGGAAAATTGGGAAAAATGGGAAAAAATTGGGAAAAATGGGAAGAAAATTGGGAAAATGGGAAGAAAATGGGAAAAGTGGGCGGAAATGGGAAAAAATTGGGAAAAATGGGAAAAAATTGGGGGAAATTGGGAAAATGGGAAGGAAATGAGAAAAGTGGGGGGAGAATGGGGGAAATTGGGCAAAATTGAGAAAAAATAGGGGAAATTGGGTAAAAAATTGGGAAAAATGGGGAAAATGGGAAAAAATTGGGGGAAATTGGGAAAATGGGAAGAAAATTGGTAAAATGGGAAGAAAACGGAGAAAGCGGCTGAAAAATGGGGGGAAATTGGGAAAAATGAGGGGAATTGGGGAAAAATGGGAAGAAAATTGAGAAAATGGGAAGAAAATGGGAAAAGTGGCGGGAAAATGGGGGAAATTGGGTAAAATTGGGAAAAAATGAGGAAAATGGGGGAAAAATTGGGAAAAATGGGAAAAAATTGGGAAAAATTGGAAGAAAATTGGGAAAATGGGAAGAAAATGGGGAAAGTGGGGGGAAATTGGGAAAAATATGGGGAATATTGGGAAAAAATGGGGAAAATGGCAAAAATATTGGGAAAAATGGGAAAAATTGTTGGAAATTGATAAAAAAGGAGAAATTGGGTCCAAACGCCCCCTCCCCCAGGCCACGCCCCCCCAGCCCGCGGCCATGGCCAGCAACGTGACCAACAAGACGGACCCGCGGTCGCTGAACTCGCGCGTCTTCATCGGGAACCTGAACACGCTGGTGGTGAAGAAGAGCGACGTGGAGGCCATCTTCGCCAAGTACGGCAAGATCGTCGGCTGCTCCGTGCACAAGGGCTTCGCCTTCGTGCAGTACGTCAACGAGCGCAACGCCCGCGCCGCCGTGGCCGGGGAGGACGGACGCATGATCGCCGGCCAGGTCCTAGGTGCGTGGTGGTGGTCAGTCGTGGTCACTCGTGGTCATTTGTGGTCATTTTGAGGTTCTGGGAGGTGTTTTGGGGTCTGGGGGGCTTAAGCTGGAGGAGCCCCATGTTTGGGTGGGGCAGGGAGGGCTGGGGAGGTGGTTACCAAGGTGGCCGTGGTCACTCGTGGTCACTGCTGGTCACTTGTGGTCATTTTGAGGTTCTGGGACGTGTTTTGGGGTCTGGGGGGCTTGGGCTTGAGGAGCCCCACATTTGGGTGGGGCTGGGATGGTCACACGGGTGGTCAGCGAGGTGGCCGTGGTCATTGGTCATCACTGATGGTCAGTTATGGTCAGTCTGTTGGTCTGGGAGGTGTTTTGGGGTCTGGGGGTCACAGCAGGGGCAGCCCCACGCTTGGGTGGGGCAGTGAGGGCTGAGGAGGTGGTTACCGAGGTGGCCATGGTCACTCGTGGTCACTCGTGGTCAGTTATGGTCACTCTGTTGGTCTGGGTGAGGTTCTGGGACGTATTTTGGGGTCTGGGGGGCTTGGGCTGGAGGAGCCCCACATTTGGGTGGGGCAGGGAGGGTCACACGGGTGGTCAGCAAGGTGGCCGTGGTCACTCGTGGTCACTTATGGTCACCCGTGGTCACTCTGAGGTCCTGGGAGGTGTTTTGGGGTCAGTTTTGGGCAGCTCCAGGTGAGCTCATTTTGGGGCGGTTTAGGGCCAGTTTGGGGCTTTTTGGGGTGATTTTCGAGGGAGTGCCCCAAACCCCCCAGAACTGACCGTAAAGTGTCCCAAACCCCCCCAAAGTTGCCCCAAATCCCCCCAAAGTTGCCCCAAACCCCCCCAAACTTGCTCCAAACTGGCCCAAATTTGCCCCAAACCCCCCCAAATTTGCCCCGAACCCCCCCAAACTGCCCCAAACCCCCCCAAACTGGCCCCAAACCCCCCCAAACTGGCCCCAAACTGCCCCAAACCCCCCGAAACTCTCCCCAACCGCCGCCGTGTCCCGCAGACATCAACCTGGCGGCCGAGCCGAAGGTGAACCGGGGCAAGGCGGGCGTGAAGCGCTCGGCGGCCGAGATGTACGGGTCAGTAGCCGCCCCCCCGTCACCGTCCCCCCTCGTCAGGTGGGGACCCGGGGGGCTGCGGGGCAGTTCGGGGTGTCCCGGGGGGGGTTGGGGTGTCCCAGGGGGGTTTGGGGTGTCCCAGGGGGGTTTGGGGTGTCCCAGGAGGGTTTTTTGGAAATTTTGGGGGATTTTTTGGGGATCCCAGGGGTTTTGGGGTGTCCCAGGGGAGGTTGTGGTGTCCTGGGGGGGTTCGGGGTGTCCCAGGGGGAGTTTGGGGTGTCCTGAGGGGGATTTTGGAAATTTTGAGGGATTTTTTGGGGTGTCCCAGGGGATTTTGGGGTGTCCCTGGGGGGTTTTTGGGGTGTCCTGAGGGGGATTTTGTAAATTTTGGGGGATTTTTTGGGATCCCAGGGGGGTTTGGGGTGTCCCTGGGGGGGTTTGGGGTGTCCTGGGGGGTTTGGGGTGTCCCAGGGGGATTTTTTGGGGATCCTGGGGTGGTTTTGGGGTGTCCCAGTGGGAATTTGGGGTGTCCTGGGGTATTTTTGGGGTGTCCCTTGGGGATTTTTGGGGATCCCAGGGGGGTTTTTGGGGATCCCAGGGGGTTTGGGGTGTCCCAGGGGGAGTTTGGGGTGTCCTGAGGGGGTTTTTGGAAATTTTGGGGGATTTTTTGGGGATCCCTGGGGCTTTTTGGGGTGTCCTAGGGGGGGTTTGGGGTGTCCTGAGGGGGATTTTGGAAATTTTGGGGGAATTTTTGGGGCTCCTGGGGGGTTTTGGGGTGTCCTGAGGGGGATTTTGGAAATTTTGGGGGATTTATTGGGGTGTCCCAGGGGGGGTTTTGGGGTTTCCCTGGGGGGTTTGGGGTGTCCCGGGGGGAGTTTGGGGTGTCCTGGGGTGTTTTGGGTGTCCCAGGGGATTTTTGGGAGGTTCTGGGCGATTTTTGTGGTTTTTAGTGTCCTGTTTGCTTTTTTTTGGGTCTCCCTTGGTTTTTTTGGGGGGTTTTGGGGTTGTTTGGGGTTTTTTTGTGATTTCTCAGATATTTTTTTGGGGCTTTTAAGAGATTTTGGGTGGGGGGTTTTTGGGGTGACCCAGTGGGGTTTTTATTGGGTCTCCCTCCGTTTTTTGGGGGGGTTTTGGGGTTTTTTTGGGGATTTTTGTGGTGTCCCAGGGATTTTTTTTTTTGGGACTCCCAGGAGATTTTTGTGGAGATTTTTGGGGTTTTTGGGACATCCCGGGTGTTTTTTGGGGAGGTTTTGTGGTTTCCCAGGGATTTTTTGGGGTGTTTTGGGGTTGTTTGGGAGGTTTTTGGGGCATCCCAGGGGATTTTTTTGGGGCTGCCATGTTTCTTTTGGGGGATTTTTGTGGTTTTTGTGGTGTCCCAGGTTTTTTGTGGTGTTTTGAGTGGTTTTGATGTTTCCCAGGAATTTTTTTGGGGGCTCCAGGGTTTTTTGGGGGGTTTTGGGTGGTTTTGAGCTTTCCCAGGTCTTTTTTGGGGAGTTTTTGGGGTTTTTGTTGTTTCCCAAGGTTTTTTGTGGTGTTTTGGGTGGTTTTGAGCTTCCCCAGGTGTTTTTTTGGGTGGGTTTTGGTGTTTTTTCCCGATCTCACTCCCTGCCCCGCCCCCAGGTCGTCGTTCGACCTGGACTACGACTTCCAGCGGGATTACTATGACCGGTACCAGTATAAACCAGTTCAGAGCGGGTTAGGGACCCCCCCCGCCCCTCCCCCCGCCCCTCCCCCCCCAGCCCCACCCGGGGGCGCCCCAAACTCAGCGTCCCCTCCCCCCCACAGGATGTACAGCTACCCCGCCCGCGTGCCGCCCCCGCCCCCCATCGCCCGCGCCGTGGTGCCCTCCAAGCGCCAGCGCGTCTCCGGGAACACGTCCCGGCGCGGGAAGAGCTTCAACAGCAAGTCCGGGCAGCGCGGCTCCTCCTCCAAGTCCGGAAAACGTACGGGGAGACGGGGAAAAATGGTGGGGAGGGTGGGGCGGGGCAATATGGCGGCACCCAAGCCAATATGGCGGCGGCCAAACCAATATGGCGGCGCCTGAGCCAATATGGCGGCGGCCAAACCAATATGGCGGCTGAGCCAATATGGCGGCGCCTGAGCCAATATGGCGGCACCTGAGCCAATATGGCGGCAACTGATCCAATATGGCAGCACTCGAGCCAATATGGCGGCACCCGAGCCAATATGGCGGTGTCCGAGCCAATATGGCGGCGCCCGAGCCAATATGGCGGCGGCCGAGCCAATATGGCGGCAACCGAGCCAATATGGCGGTGTCTGAGCCAATATGGCAGCACTCGAGCCAATATGGTGGCGTCCGGTCCAATATGGTGGTGTCCGAGCCAATATGGCGGCAACCGAGACAATATGGCGGCGGCCGAGCCAATATGGCGGCATCCGAGCCAATATGGCGCCCGAGCCAATATGGTGGCATCCAAGCCAATATGGTGGTGTTCGAGCCAATATGGCGGCGCCCAAGCCAATATGGTGGCAACTGATCCAATATGGCGGCGTCCAAGCCAATATGGCGGTGTCCGATCCAATATGGCGGCACCCGAGTCAATATGGCGGTGTCCAATCCAATATGGTGGTGTCCGATCCAATATGGCGGCGGCCAAGCCAATATGGTGACGATCCAATATGGTGGCGTCCAATACAATATGGCGGCATCTGAGACAATATGGCGGCCTCCGAGCCAATATGGCGGCGCCCGAGCCAATATGGTGGTGTCCGAACCAATATGGCGGCGGCCGATCCAATATGGCAGTGCCCATTCCAATATGGCTGTTATCATTCCCCATATTCAATATGGCTGCCCCCATGTCCCAGTCCAACATGGTTGCTGCCATATCCAATATGGCCGCTCCCATATCCAACATGTCCACCCCTGTTCTCCATACCCAACATGGCCGTCACCATTCCCCATATCCAATATGGCCACCCCCATGTCCCAATATCCAACATGACCGTTGCCATATCCAACATGGCCACCCCCATGTTCCAAACCAACATGGCTGTTGCCATATTCAATATGGCCACCCCGATATCCAACATGGCCGCCCCCATTCCTCGTACCCAACATGGCCACTCCCATATCCAACATGGCATCCCTATATCCAACATGGCGACCCCCATATCCCAATCCAATATGGCAGCCCCCATTCCCCACATCCAACATGGCCGCCCCCACACCCAACATGGCCGCCCCCATATCCAAGATGGCCGCCCCCATATCCAACATGGCCACCCCCATATCCCAATCCAATATGGCAGCCCCCATTCCCCATACCCAACATGGCCGCCCTCACCCCCAACATGGCCACCCCCACCCCCCATATCCAAGATGGCCGTCCCCCCCGGCCCCGCCCGACGCGATTTTGGGGTGAATTTCCAGTGAAAGGGGACGACCTGCAGAGCATCAAGAAGGAGCTGGGGCAGATCAAGGCCAAGGTGGACGCGCTGCTGGAGAGCCTCGAGCGCCTGGAGCGCGAGCAGAGTGAGCCACGCACCAAAAACAGCGCTTTTCAACCCAAAACAAGCCTTACCCAAAACGGCGCTTTTCCACCCAAAACAAGCCTTCCCCAAAAACAGAGCTTTTTCCCAAAAACGGCGCTTTTCCACCCAAAATGCGCCTTCCCCAAAAACCGCGCTTTTTCCCAAAAACGGCGTTTTTCAACCCAAAAACAGCGCTTTTCCACCCAAAACGCGCCTTCCCCAAAACGGCGCTTTTCCACCTGAAACGCGCCTTTCCCCAAATCCCCGCATTCCCCAAAATTGGCACTTTTCAACCCAAAATACAGCCTTTTCCCGAATCCCCGCCTGATCCAAACCCGGCGCGTCTCAACCCAAAATGTGGCATTTTCCCAAAACCCCGTTTTTGGCCCCAAATACCCCCATTTTTTTCCCCCAAATCCCCAATTTTTTCCCAAAATCCCCATTTTACGCCCCAAATCCCTGTTTCTCGCCCCAAACCTCCAATTTTTCCCGAAATCTCTGTTTTCCACCCCAAAACCCCGATTTTTTCCCAAAATCCCCATTTTTCACCCCAAATCCCCGTTTTTCCCTCCAAACCCTCAATTTTTTCCCCAAATCCACATTTTTTCCCCCAAACCCCCGATTTTTTTCCCAGATCCCCCTTTTTCACCCCAAATCCCTGTTTCTCACCCTGAACGCCCATTTTTCCTCCTATACCCCTGATTTTTTCCCAAAATCCCCATTTTTTCCCCGAAACCCCCATTTCTTCCCCCCAAACCCCCCAATTTTTGCCTAAACCCCCCATTTCTCCCCCCAAATCCCTGATTTTTTCCCAAAATCCCCATTTTTCTCCCCAAACCCCCGTTTTTTTCCCAAAATCCCCATTTTTCCCCCCAAAATCCCCGTTTCTCACCCAAACCCCCAATTTTTACCCCCAAACCCCCGTTCTGTTCCCAAACTCCCCATTTTTCACCCCCAAATCCCCAATTCTTTTCTCAAAATCCCAGTTTTTCACCCCAAACTCCCCATTTTTTTCCCCCCAAACCCCCATTTTTTCCCAAAACCCCCTCATTTTCCCCCAAATCTCCCATTTCTCCCCCGCGCAGAGGCCAAGAGCGACAAGGCGGAGGAGGAGCAGGGCGGCGGCGGCGGCTCCAAGAAGGACGAGGCGGGCGGGGCCAAGGCCGAGGGCGGCCACGAGGACTCGGCCGAGGAGGGCGACCTGCTGGACGACGACGAGGCCGAGGAGCGGGGCGACGAGCAGGTGGGGACCAGTTCCGACCAGTTCGGACCAGTAACTGACCCCCAGTGACCCCCAGTTCAGACCAGTTCAGATATCCCAGTTCAGACCAGTTCAGACCAGTAACTGACCCCCCGGTGACCCCCCAGTGACCCCCAGTTCAGACCAGTTCAGATATCCCAGTTCAGACCAGTTCAGACCAGTAACTGACCCCCCGGTGACCCCCCAGTGACCCCCAGTTCAGACCAGTTCAGATATCCCAGTACACACCAGTTCGGACCAGTTCGGACCAGTTCGGACCAGTAACCGACCCCCCTGTGACCTCCCAGTGACCTCCCAGTGACCCCCAGTACAGACCAGTTTGGATATCCCAGTACAGACCAGTTCAGACCAGTAACCGACCCCCCAGTGACCCCTCAGTGACCTCCCAGTGACCCCCAGTATAAACCAGTACAAACCAGTGCCCCCAGAATGTGCCCCAGGGCCCTCCCAGTACAAACCAGTATAGACCAGTGACCCCTTAATGCCTTCCCAGTGCCCTCCCAGTACAGACCAGTGACCCCTTAGTGCCCTCCCAGTGCCCTCCCAGTACAAACCAGTACAAACCAGTGCCCTCCCAGTGCCCTCCCAGTACAAACCAGTGACCCCAGTGCCCTCCCAGTACAAACCAGTGACCCCTTAGTGCCCTCCCAGTACAAACCAGTGACCCCTTAGTGCCCTCCCAGTACAAACCAGTGCCCCTGGTACCCCACCCTCCCCAGCGTGGGCGTGGCCGGGGTGTGCGAGGTGGGGGAGGGGTTTCCCAGCCCCTCCCCCCCCCGTTACTGACGCCCCTCCCCCCCGTTGGCAGCTGGAGTCGCTGAAGGGGGACGAGAAGGAGGCGGAGGAGGGGGAGGACGACCGGGACAGCGCCAACGGCGAGGACGAGCCCTGAGCCCCGCCCCCCGCCGGCCCCGCCCCCCCGGCCCCGCCCCCCGCCCCGCCCCCGCCCCACTCGTGCGCTCGTGGCCCCTCCCCCTCCCCGCCCCCCGTAGTTCGGTTACCCTCCCCCTGTTTCATCCCCCCCCCTGTGCCCCTCCCCCCACCCTCACACGGCCCCGTCCCCCCCAGGCCCCGCCCCCCTCGGTTAATTTTGATACCTCGAGATGATAATTAAAGGACGGATGTTTGTAAAAGTGGCTCCGGTGGGGGAGGGGCGGGGCACGCCCAAGATGGCGGCGTGGGTACGGCAGGCCAAGATGGCCACCCCCATGTGTTCTAATCCAAGATGGCGGCCCCCGTGCGTTCCAATCCAATATGGCCACCCCCATGTGTTCTAATCCAAAATGGCCGCCCCCGTGCGTTCCAATCCAATATGGCCGCCCACACATGTTCCAATCCAACATGGCTGCCCCCGTGTGACTCAGTCTAATATGGCCGCCCACATTTGTTCCAATCCAGTATGGCTGCCCCAGAGTGTTCGAATCCAATATGGCCGCCCCCATGTGTCCCAATCCAATATGGCCGCCCCTCCATGCCCCACCTAAGATGGCGGTTTTTATGCCCTTTGACCCAAGATGGCTGCCCCTGTGTGCCACAGTTCAATATGGCCGCCCCCATTGGGTGCAATCCAAGATGGCCGCCCCCACGTGGTGTAGTTCAATATGGCGGACCCTTTGTGCAAGCCCAAGATGGCGGCTCCATCACAGCAATTCAAGATGGCTGCCCGCAGGTGCTTTAATCCAAGATGGCTGCCTCCGTGTGTCACAATCCAATATGGCCGCCCCCATGTCCGGGAATTCAAGAGGTGGTCTCCACATGCCAAAATCCAAGATGGCCGCATCCATACACCAACCCGATATGGCTGCCCCCATGTGTCACAATCCAAGATGGCCACCCCCTTGTGCCAGAATCCAATATGGCCGCCTCTGTGCCCAACCCAAGATGGCAGCCTCCTGTGTTCTAGTCCAAGATGGCTGCCCCCATGTGCTGTAATCCAAGATGGCAGCCTCTGTTCCCCATCCAACATGGCTGCCTTCATGTGCCGTAACCCAAGATGGCCACCCCCATGTGCGATTATCCAATATGGCCGCCTCTGTGCCCAACCCAAGATGGCAGCCTCCTGTGCCGTAATCCAATATGGCAGCCTCCGTGCCCACCAAAGATGGCTGCCCCCATGTGGTGCAATCCAAGATGGCCACCCCCATCCACCAATCCAAGATTGTTGCCCCCATGTGCCATAATCCAAGATGGCAGCCTCTGTGCCCCACCCAATATGGCGGCCCCCATGTGCCACAAAGTAAGATGGCGGCCTTTATTGTGCTGTAATCCAAGATGGCAGCCCCCATAAGACAATCCAAGATGGCCACCCCTGTATACCAATCCAATATGGCTGCCCTCATGTGGTGCAATCCAAGATGGCCACCCCCATGTGTGATTATCCAATATGGCCGCCCCTGTGCCCCACCCAAGATGGCTGCCCCCATGTGGTGCAATCCAATATGGCCACCTCCTGTGCCGTAATCCAAGATGGCAGCCCCCATATCCCAATCCAATATGGCGGCCCCCATATCCCAATCCAAGATGGCGGCCCCCATACCCCAATCCAATATGGCCGCCCCCATGTGCCCTAATCTAAGATGGCGGCGCCGAAGTCACGACCCCGAGTCCGGGTTTCCCAAAATCTCCGTTTATTGCCCCGATCCGGGTGGGCGTGGTCATTGCGCGGCGGCGCGCCGGGATTGGTCAGTTGGCGTCGGGGGGCGTGTCCGGGGCGGGCGGCGGCGCGCCGGGATTGGTCAGTTGGCGTCGGGGGGCGTGTCCGGGGCGGGCGGCGGCGCGCCGGGATTGGTCAGCGCCAGGCGGGGCGGGGCCAGGGCGTGGCCGGGGGGGCGGCGGCCGTTGACCACCAGGGACAGGGGGGAGGGGACACGGAGCCCCACGAACGAGAACATCTGGGGGGGAGAGAGACCAGTGAAAACCAGTATAAACCAGTATGGACCAGTATAAACCAGTATAAATAATTATAAACTGTTATAAACCATTATAAACCAGTATGGACCAGTATAAACAGTTATAAACCAGTATAGACAGGGACAGGGGGGAGGGGACGCGCAGCCCCACGAAGGAGAAGGTCTGGGGGGGAGAGAGACCAGTAAAAACCAGTATAAACCAGTATAAACCAGTATAAATAATTATAAACTGTTATAAACTGTTATAAACCAGTATAAACCATTATAAACCAGTATGGACCAGTATGGACCAGTATAAACAGTTATAAACCAGTACAGACAGGGACAGGGGGGAGGGGACGCGCAGCCCCACGAAGGAGAACGTCTGGGGGGGAAAAGAGACCAGTAAAAACCAGTATAAACCAGTATAAACTGTTATAAACCATTATAAACCAGTTTGGACCAGTATAAACCAGTATAAACCAGTTATAAACTGTTATAAACCAGTATGGACCAGTAAGGACCAGTATAAATAATTATAAACCATTATAAAACATTATGAACCAGTTTGGACCAGTTCAGACCAGTATAAACCAGTATAAACAGTTACAAACTGTTATAAACCAGTATGGACCACTTTGGACCAGTAAGGACCAGTATAAACAGTTATAAACCATTTTAAACTAATTTGGACCAGTAAGGACCAGTATAAACCAGTATAAACAGTTATAAACCGTTATAAACCAGTATGGACCAGTTTGGAGCAGTAAGGACCAGTACAAACCAATATAAACAATTATAAACCAGTTTGGACCAGTACAGACCAGTATAAGCAGTTATAAACCATTATAAACCGATCTGGACCAGTTTAAACCAGTACGGACTGGTATAGAGCAATACAAACCAGTAAAAAACACTGAAAACCAGTCTGAACCAGTATAGACCAGTTCAAACCACTTCGCACCAGTATAAACCAGTCCGAACCGTCCCAAACCAGTATAAAATGGCTCAAACCAGTCCGAACCATTCCAAACCAGTCCAAACCAGTATAAAATTACCCAAACCAGTACAGAACGTTACAGAGCCCCCCACACCAGTACAAACCAGTACAAACCAGTCCGTCCCAGTCCATCTCACCTGTCCCTGGTGCTGGACCAGGTGATTGGTCAGCTGGGGCTCGGCCACGCCCACACCAGTACAAACCAGTATAAAATGACCCAAACCAGTCCAAACCAGTCCGGATCGTTACAAACTCCCCCACACCAGTCCAAACCAGTACAAACCAGTATAAAATAACCCAAACCAGTCCGTCTCACCTGTCCCTGGTGCTGCACCAGGTGATTGGTCAGCTCGGGCTCGGCCACGCCCACCGCGTCGCCCACGGTCACGCCCCACGTGGGGGCGGCGTTGTACACGGTGACGGCGGCCACGGCCCCGCCCCCGTCCTGCAGCCCCACCGTGCTGGGGGCGGGGCTAAAGTCAGCCACACCCATCCCCGGCCACGCCCACCACAGCCACACCCAACCTGGCCACGCCCACCATGGCCCCGCCCATCACAGTTACGCCCACATCAGCCCCGCCCCCGTCCTGCAGCCCCACCGTGCTGGGGGCGGGGCCAGGTGAGACACGCCCACCGAAGCCACGCCCATCACAGCCACACCCATCCTGGCCACGCCAATCACAGCCACGCCCACCGAGACCACGCCCACACCCGTAAACACCAGCACGGCCCAGTTAACTCCAGTATAGCCCATCCCAGTTCACACCAGTATCCCCCAGTTCACTCCCAGTCCCCCCCAAATCCCTCCCAGTCCCCCCCCAGTTTATCCCAGTGCCCCCCAAACCCCTCCCAGTCCCTCCCAGTCCCTCCCAGTCCCCCCCCAGTTTATCCCAGTCCCCCCCAGTTTATCCCAGTCCCCCCCAAACCCCTCCCAGTCCCTCCCAGTCCCTCCCAGTCCCCCCCAGTTTATCCCAGTCCCTCCCAGTTTATCCCAGTCCCCCCCAAACCCCTCCCAGTCCAATCCCAGTCCCTCCCAGTCCCCCCCAGTCCCCCCCAGTTTACCCCAGTGTCACTCACTAGGGCACGCCCCCGGGCGGGGCGGTGCTGAACAAGACCCTCCCCAGCACCACGCGGTGGGGGTTGGGCCCGGGGCGCAGCGCGGCGATGGGGGAGGGGCGCGGCCCCCCGGCCCCGCCCAGCGGCCCCAGCAGGGGGAGGGGCACCGGCCCGGCCACGCCCCGGCGGCGCTTCCCGCGCAGCTTCCCCTGGGGGCGGGGCAAAGGGGGCGGGGCTTAGGGGGACACACCCACCACACCCACCTAGACCCCACCCAGCTTCCCCTGGGGCGGGGCCAGAGGGGGCGGGGCTTAGGGGGACACACCCACCACGCTCCCAGCCCCGCCCACCGCGCCTCAGGCCCCGCCCACCGCTTCCCGCGCAGCTTCCCCTGGGGGCGGGGCCAAGGAAAGGGGGCGGGGCTTAGGGGGACACGCCCACCACGCCCCGGCGGCGCTTCCCGCGCAGCTTCCCCTGGGGGCGGGGCCAGAGGGGGCGGGGCTTAGGGGGACACGCCCATCGTGCTCTTAGCCCCGCCCACATTGCCCCACCCAGCTTTCCCTGGGGGCGGGGCCAAGGAAACGGGGGCGGGGCTTAGGGGGACACGCCCACCACACCCCAGCCCCGCCCTGTCCATCCCAGTCCATCCCAGTCCCTCCCAGTCCATCCCAGTTTGTCCCAGCTACCCCAAATCCCGTCCCAGTCTGTCCCAGTCCATCCCAGTTACTCCCAGTCCCTCCCAATCCCCTCCCAGTACATCCCAATCCCATCCCAGTTTATCCCAGTCCATCCCAGTCCATCCCAGTTTGTCCCAGTTCCCCCCAAATCCTGTCCCAGTCCATCCCAATCCCCTCCCAGTCTGTCCCAGTCCCTCCCAGTCCCTCCCAGTCTGTCCCAGTTTGTTCCCAGTCCCTCCCAGTGTGTCCCAGTTTGATCCCAGTCTGTCCCAGTTTGTTCCCAGTTCCCCCCAAATCCTGTCCCAGTCCATCCCAATCCCCTCCCAGTCTGTCCCAGTTACTCCCAGTCCCTCCCAGTGTGTCCCAGTTTGTTCCCAGTCTGTCCCAGTTACTCCCAGTTGCCCCCAAATCCTGTCCCAGTCAGGCCCAGTCCCTCCCAGTCCCTCCCAGTCCCTCCCAGTCCCCTCCCAGTCCATCTCAGTCCCTCCCAGTCCCCTCCCAATCCATCCCAGTCCCATCCCAGTCCCTCCCAGTTCAATCCCAGTATATCCCAGTCCCTCCCAGTCCGTACCCGGCTCTCGAGGAGCCCGCACACCCTCCCCAGGTGCTCCAGCAGGTGCCCCAGTCCAATCCCAGTATATCCCAGTCCCTCCCAGTCCCTCCCAGTCCGTACCCGGCTCTCCAGCAGCCCGCACACCCTCCCCAGGTGCTCCATGAGGTGCCGGTGCCGGTTCCGGGGCTCGGCCCAGCCCGGCGCCAGCTCGGCCGCGCGGCTCAGCCCCTCCAGCGCCCCCTGGAACCGCTCCAGGAACTGCAGCAGCTGTGGGGGAGACACCTGGGTTACCTGGGGGCACCTGGGGGCACCTGGGATACACCCAAACACACCTGGGCACACCTGGGGGCACCTGAGATACACCTGGGTACAACTGGGGTACACCTGGGGGCATCTCAGTACACCTGGGTCACCTGGGGGTACACCTGGGCACACCTCAGATACACCCAAACACACCTGGGTTACCTGGGGGCACCTGGGGTACCTGGGTACACCCAGGGGCACACCTGGGTCACCTGGGGGCACCTGGGGGCACACCTGGGCACACCCACACACACCTGGGTCACCTGGGGTACACCTGGGGGTACAACTGGGACACACCTGGGTCACCTGAGGGTACCCACACACACCTGGGCACACCTGAGACACACCTGAGACACACCTGGGCACACCTGAGACACATCTGGGTCACCTGGGGGTACACCTGGGATACACCTGAGCACACCTGGGTAAACCTGGGGGCGCACCTGGGCACACCCACACACACCTGGGAACACCTGGGGTACACCTGAGCACACCTGGGGATACCCGAGATACACCTGGGCACACCTGAGATACACCTGGGATACACCTGCGCACACCTGAGCCACACCTGAGCACACCTGGGACACACCCAGACACACCTGGGCACAACTGAGACACACCTGGGCACACCTGAGCACACCTGGGCACACCTGGGGATACCTGAGATATACCTGGGGATACACCTGGGGCACACCTGAGCACACCTGGGGCACACCTGGGGATACCTGGGCACACCTCACACACACCTGTGCACACCTGAGCCCCGCCCCCGCCCCGCCCCGCTCACCGTGGCGCGGTTCAGGTGCAGGTCGGGGTTGGCGGCGGCCGCGGGGTCCACGCGCTCCTGGGGGCGGAATTTTGGGTCATTTCGGGTCATTTTGGGGGCTTTTGGGGCCACTGAGGGATCGCTGGCAGATATCGCAATTTTTTGGGGTGGTTTTGGTGATTTTTGGGGATTTTTGTTTCATTTTTAAAAATTCTTGGTGGGTTTTTAACGGTTTTTGTGGTTTTGGCCTTTTTTTGGGTGTTTTTTGAGGCATTTGGTCGTTTTTAGTGGGTTTAGGGATCCTAGGGGTTTTTTTTGTGGTTTTGGGTCAATTTTGGTGTTTTTTCCCCTTTTTAGTGGGTTTTGGGGTGCCTGGATGATTTTTAGTGGTTTTGGGTCATTTTTGGTCGTTTTGGGGTATTTTAGGTAATTTTGGGGATTTTTTGGTGGTTTTCGGGGGTCTCTGGCTGGTTTTGGGTCATTTTTGGGTGTTTTGCGGAGTTTTTGCTGGTTTTAAGAGGTCCATGGGTGGTTCTTGTGGTTTTGGGTTATTTTAGGTAGTTTTGAGTATTTTTGATAGTTTTGGGGTATTTTTGGTGCTTTGGGGTGTTTTTTTTGGTCATTTCTGTTGGTTTTGGGTCATTTTTGGTGGTTTTAAAGTATTTTTGGTACTTTCGGGGTATTTTTGGTGGTTTTGGGTTTTTCTGGGTCATTTTTGTTGGTTTTGGGTCATTTTTGGTGGTTTTGAGGTATTTATGGTACTTTCGGGGTATTTTTGGTGGTTTGGGAGGTTTTTTGGGTCATTTTTGGTGGTTTTGGGCCATTTTTGGTGGTTTGATGGATTTTTGTGGCAGTTTTTGGTGCTTTTGGGTAAATTCTGATCGTTTTGGGCAGTCTTTGGTGCTTTTGGGTAAATTTTGATAATTTCGGGGAGTTTTTGATGCTTTTGGGCGTTCCCTGGGTGCTTTTTGGGTAATTTTTTTGGATTTTTTGGCCAATACCGCGTAGCCACACCCCACCCAGCTCATTAACATAACCACGCCCCCTGATTAGCCACACCCCCGGGATTAGCCACGCCCCCGGGATTAGCCCCGCCCCCAGGGTTAGCCACACCCCCAGGATTAGCCCCGCCCCCAGGGTTGACCACGCCCCCGGATTGGCCACGTCCCCGGGTTAAACCACGCCCCCCCGGATTAAACCACACCCCCGGATTGGCCACGCCCCCGGATTAGCCCCGCCCCCCGGTTAGCCCCGCCCCTCACCGCCTGTGCGTAGGCCGCCAGCGCGCGCCGGGCGCTGCCGGGGCTCTGCCCGCCCGCGAAGAACAGCGCCACGTGGGCGTTGGCCAGCACGTCTGCGGGGGGAGGGACAGGTGAGAGACGCACCTGGCGCAGGTGGGCACAGCTGAGAGACACCTGGGGTACACCTGAGAGACCCTGGGACACACCTGGGTACACCTGGCTACACCTGGGATACACCTGGGCACACCTGGGATACACCTGGGCACAGGTGAGCTCACCTGAGATACACCTGGGCACACCTGAGATACACCTGGGCACACCTGGGTGCACCTGAGACACACCTGGGTGCACCTGGGCACACCTGAGATATACCCAGGCACAGGTGAGCTCACCTGGGCACACCTGAGATACACCTGGGCACACCTGGGCACACCTGAGATACACCTGGGCATACCTGGGCACACCTGGGTGCACCTGGGCACACCTGGGGCACACCTGAGTGCATCTGGGACACACCTGGGTGCACCTGGGTACACCTGAGATACACCTGGGACATACCTGGGACACACCTGGGCACACCTGGGCACACCTGAGCCCCTCCCCACACCCACCTGTGCCCCGCCCAGCCCCTCCCCAGCCCCAGGTGAGACTCACACCCACACCTGCCCAGGTGAGACCCACACCCACACCTGTCCCAGGTGAGACTCACACCAGCTCTGGCCGTTTTTGGGGTCACACCTGAGCCCCTCACACCCACACCTGTCCCAGGTGAGACTCACACCAGCTCTGGCCGTTCCTGGGGTCACACCTGACCGCCGCCTCCGCCTGGGCCAGGCTCTCCCTCAGGGCTCCGCCCCCCGGGGCTGGCCCCGCCCCCTCGCCGCCAGGCCCCGCCCCCCGCGGGCCCGGCCCCGCCCCCTGCGCCCGCAGCGCCATGGAGAGCAGGCGCCGCGCCTCGGGGTCCTCGCCCTGGGGAAAAAACGGGGAAAACGGGGGTTAGAGATGTTAAAAACAGTCAAAGTGACAAAATCGGTGATAAAAACTGATAATACCCCAAAAAGCGGCAAAAAAATACCCAAAACCAGCCCAAAACCAGCCTAAAAACAGCTTAAATCGAGAAATCGTCAAAAAACCTGAAAATCCCAAAAAAAACTGTAAAAAAATACCCCAAAACCCCACAAAAAACCACCAAAACCCACCCAGAGGTACGAAAATTCACCTAAAATCCCTGAAAACCCACAAAAAATCACCCAAACAAAATCACCCAGAAAATCACCCAAAAAATTCACAAAAAAATCCCAAAAAATTCCTAAAATTCCCAAAAGTCCCAAAAACCCCCAAAACCCCCCAAAAACGACCAAAACCCACCCAGAGATCCCTAAAATCACCTAAAATCTCTGAAAATCCATCTAAAATCCCCAAAAACCCACAAAAAATCACCCCAAAAAAAACCACCCAAAAAATCACCCAGAAAATGCCCAAAAAAATCCCAAAAAATTCCCAAAAATTCCTAAAACCCCCAAAAATTCCCAAAATCCCCCAAAATCCCCAACAACCCCCAAAAAGCCACCAAAACCCACCCAGAAATCCCGAAAACCCACCCAAAAATCCCGAAAACCCATCTAAAACCCCCTAAAACCCCACAAAAATTCCCCGAAAAAATCCCAAAAAATCCCGAAAGTCCCAAAAACCCCTGAAAGTGCCCCAAAATCCCCGCTCACCTGCCGCAGGGCGCCGCCGAAGGCCTGCCTTGCCCCCCTGAGGTCCCCGCGCCGCCAGCGCTGCTCGCCCAGGTGCCGCCAGGCCGCGCCCAGGGCGGGGTCCAGCTTCAGGGCGTGGCCCAGCGCCGCCTCCGCCCGCGCCGCGCCCGCCGCCGGGGCCACGCCCAGCGCCCGCGCCCGCAGCACCAGCGCCCGCCCGCGCCCTGCCGGGGAGACTGGAATGGGAAGGGTTAATAAATGGGCAGAGCCGTGGGGACACACCTGGACACACCTGGACACGCCCAGCGCCCGCGCCCGCAGCACCAGCGCCCGCCCGCGCCCCGCCGGGGAGACTGGGAAGGAAGGGGTTAATAATGGGGTGGGGCTGTGGGGACACACCTTGACCACACCCTGACCACGCCCCATTCAGGAGACTGGAAAAGGAGGGGTTAAACAGGGGACGGGGCCACTGGGACACGCCCAGGACACACCTGGACACGCCCTGACCACGCCCCGTTCAGGAGACTGGGAAGGAAAGGGTTAAATAGGGGCGGGGCCTTGGAGACACACCTGGACACACCTGGACACACCTGACCACACCCTGACCCCGCCCTGACCACGCCCCGCAGGTGAGACTGGGATGGAAGGGGTTAAATAGGGGGTGGGGCCATGGGGACACACCTGGACATGCCCTGACCACGCCCCATTAAGGAGACTGGGAGATAAGGGGTTAAAAAGTGGGCGGGGCCAAGGGGACACACCTTGACCATGCCCCGGCCACGCCCCGCAGGTGAGACTGGGAAATGAAGGGTTAATAAGGGAACGGGGCCATGGGGACACACCTGGACACGCCCCGACCACGCCCCGCAGGTGAGACTGGGAGGGAAGGGGTTAAACAGGGGGCGGGGCCATGGGGACACGCCCAGGACACACCAGGACACACCTGGACACACACCTGGACACTCCCAGGACACACCTGGGCACACCCGGACACACCTGGACACGCCCAAGACACACCTGGACACACACCTGGACACGCCCAGGACACACCTGGACACACCTGGGCACACCTGGACACACCTGGGCACACCTGGGCACGGCCAGGACACACCTGGACATGCCCAGGACACACCTGGACACACCTGGACACGCTCAGGACACACCTGGACACACCCAGGACACATCCAGGACACACCTGGACACACCTGGGCACACCTGGGCACACCTGGCCACGCCCCTACCGTGGATCTGCTCCATCAGCCGCAGCGTCCGCTCCATCTCGGCCACCAAAGGGTCATCCGAGGGGTCACAGGGGTCACCGGAGGGGTCAGCGGGGTCATGGCCGGGGTCACAGGGGTCACAGGTGGGGTCACAGGGGTCACAGGTGGGGTCACAGGTGGGGTCATGACCCGGCAGCGAGTCCCGGAAGCGAAAAAGTTCCGACAGCAGGTCCTGGGAGAGAAAAAAAATGGGAGAAATCAGCCCAAAATGAGCCAAAATCGTGGGAAATTACACTAAATAACATAAAATAAGAAAATAATCAAAAATAACAAAAAACAGGCAAAAAATAACCCATAATCACCCCCAAATCAGCTCTAAATAACCCAAAATAACCCAAAATCAGGAATCAGCCCAAAGTGAGCCAAAATTGTGGGAAATTACACTAAATAACCAAAAGTCAGGGAAAATAATCTAAAATAACAAAATATAGTAGAAAAATAACCCATAATCACCCCCAAATCTGCTCTAAATACCCCAAAATAACGGAAAAATAACCCAAAATCAGAAGAAATCAGCCCAAAGTGAGACAGGATCAGGGAAATTACAAAAAATAACCCAAAATCAGTGAGAACCACCAAAAAACATGAAATATGACCCAAAATAACCTGAAAACAGGAAAAATAACCTAGAATAACTAAAAAAAACTGAAAAATAACCCAAAATTACCCCAAAAAAAGCACAAATCAGACCAAAATGAGTCGGAATAATTGAAAATAATGTAAAATAACACAAAGTCAGTGATAATAACCTAAAATAACCATAAACAACCAAAAAAAACCCCCAATATTACCCAGAAAACAGCACAAATCAGACCAAAGTGGCCAGAATAATTGAAAATAATGTAAAATAATACAAAGTCAGTGAAAATAACCTGAAATAACAAAACAAACCTGGAAAATAACCGAAAATCAGCACAAGTCAGGCCAAAATGAACCGAAATAATGGAAAAAAACCAACATTATCAAAATAATGACCAAAATCACTCCGAATTTAGCAGAAATCAGGCCAAAATAATGCAAAAACTTAAAATTACACAAAATACCTCAAAAAAATTTAATTAATTAAGGAAAATAATTGAAAATAACCCAAAATTACAAAAAAAAGACCCCAAATCCTCCCCTCACACACCGCCCCCCTCAGAACCCCAGACCCCCCCCTCAAAAAAAAAACCCCAAAACTGCCCCAAAAAACGGCCCCGCCCCCCCAAACGCCCCTCCCCCACCCCGGGGGTCCCTCCCCCGCCCCTCCCCCACCTCCATCCGCCTCAGCGCCGCCTCATCGCCGCCCTCCCCCCCTCCCCCTCCGCCGCCGCTCTCCGCCGCCGCCGCCTCCTCCTCCGCCGGCGCCGCCATCTTCGCGCCCGGCCACGCCCACTTCCGCCTTCTCTTCCGGCCGCGCCGCGCTCCCATTGGCTGCGGCCGCGAGCGCGGGAAACCGCCGCCAATCACGCGCCGTCAATCAAAGGCACAAACCCCGCCCCTTTCTGCTTCTGAGGCGAGGCCACGCCCCCTCCGTTTCCCGCCGTTTTTTGGCCCCGCCCCCTCCTCCCCTCACGATCTCCCTCAGGATAAAAACCAGCACAAGGGGTCGTTTTTTAATTAAAAAAACCCCATTTAAATAAATTATTTTTAGCTTTCCCCTCACGGTGTGTTGATAATAGTAATAATCAGGACCAAGCGGCCACGCTTTTATTTTTATTTCTATATAAAAAACATTAAAATGAAGAACTTTTAGCTTTCCCCTCACGGTGTGTTCCTAATAGTAATAATCAGGACCAAGCGGCCGCGATTTTATTTTTATTTCTATTTAGAAAACATTAAAATGAAGAACTTTTAGCTTTCCCCTCACGGTGTGTTGATAATAGTACGAATCAGGACCAAGCGGCCGCGATTTTATTTTTATTTCTATATAAAAAACATTTAATCAATCACTTTGAGCCTTCCCTTCACAGCAAGAACCGGCACCGCGTTTTTATTTTATTTTTATTCAAAAATATGTTTAAATCAGTAACTTCCAGCTTTCCCCTCACTGTTTATTCATAATGGAAAGAATTGGCACCAAAGGGCCCCGTTTTTATTTTAAAAAACATTTAAGTAAAGAACTTTTAGCTTTCCCCTCACGATTTTAATATATATACATATAATGGTTATATATTTTATTAAATAGCTATTTTTAAGAAAAAAAACCCACAATTTTTATCTTTCCCCTCACAAAAACGCCGTGAATTCCGCAGTGAAACAGTTTTTATTCCAAAAAATAAAATGAAATAAAAGTATTAAAAACAAGGGGGGAAAACCCCCACAAAATAGAAATATGAAATTAAAAAGAGCAAAACTATTAAGAACAAGGGGAAAAACCCCAACAAAAAGGAAATTTGAAATTAAAAGAGCAAAACCTGGAAAGGGTGGAAGGTAGGAAAAATAAAAATAAGAAATAAAGAGATTGAAAAAAAATAAACCACAAAAGGCCACAAAAAAAAATAAGAATAATTTAAAAAAACCCACACACATAAAAAAAAGCGCGAAGTCCACAGCGCAGATCCTCCGAAGCGTTTCCCGCCGGCGGCGCCGCCTGAGGGGAGAGAAGCGAAGTCAGAACGGGACAGAACCGGGATAAAACCGGGATAAAAGCGGGATAAAAGCGGAATAAAACCGGGATAAAACCGGGAGGGCACCGAGACCGACCCGGGACAGAACCGGAGCCCCCCCGGGATCGTTTTTTGTGCGCTCCCCCGAAATCCGGCGGGGCCCCGAGGCCCCGCCTCAGCCCCGCCGGGTGAAGAAGGAGCCGCCGCTGCTCTGCGACGCCGCTAAAACCCCGAGCGCCCGCGGCTGGCGGCGACGGGGGGAACGCGGGTCGGGGCCGCGATAGGCCGCCATGTCGCGATAGAATCGCGGCCGCCATGTCGCGATAGAACCACAACCGCCATTTCCCCATCGTACCTACGACATGCTATCCCTCCGCCGGCCGCTGAAGGACTGCGCAGCTCCCGCGCTCGCCGGCCGGCCCCTTAGCCAAGCCACGCCCCCGCCGCGCTCCCATTGGCCGGCGGGTGACCGCCTGTCAATCCTATTGGTTGATGCGCAGGATTATGCAGATATACCATAGGCGTGGCTAGTGGATGATTGACAGAGGGGCGTGTCTCTCAGCGGTTGATTGACAGATCAGACATCAACTAAACCCAATGGAAGGGGCGTGCTTTGCATGATGATTGACAGAATATTAATTAAACAATTCAAGGGGCGTGGCTTGCAGCGTTTGATTGACAGCTAAGACACCAGTTCAACCCAATGGAAGGGGCGTGGTTTGCACCGATGATTGACAGAATATTAATGCCACAATTCAAGGGGCGTGGCTTTCAGCGTTTGATTGACAGGGAGGATATTAATGTGTGTCAATAGAAGGGGCGTGGCTTGTAGAAATTGATTGACAGCTCAATTATTAATGTATGCCAAAGGGGCGTGGCTTGTAGAAATTGATTGACAGCTCAATTATTAATGTATGCCAAAGGGGCGTGGCTTACATTTGATTGACAGGTAAGATATTAATGTGCTCCAATGGAAGGGGCGTGGCTTGCAGATATTGATTGACAGCTCAGTTAATGTATGCCAAAGGGGCGTGGCTTGTAGATATTGATTGACAAGCAGCCTCCAAACCTGATTGGTCCTCTCCAGAGGGGCGTGGCCACCCACCGAATGACGCAATCCGCTAACAAAAAGGCGTGGCCAAAACGGGGCGGGGTCATGAATATTTTATTAGGTGGGTGTGGCCATCTTGGGCGTGGCCGCCTCAATCCCGCCAGGTCACCTCCACCTCGTCCGTCCGGTACCTGGGGCGGCCAGAGGTCAAAGGTCAGAGGTCAGGTAACCCAAAAATAGCCACGCCCGCCAGGCCACGCCCCCTGACCTCTGCGTGATCCCTGATTGGCTGAGCTCTGTCACCTGCCCCGCCCTCAGCATCTCGCACCCGGCCTGGGCGATCATGGCGCCGTTGTCGATGCAGTACCTGCGGGGTCAAAGGTCACGGGGCGGGGCCGCGCAGGTGAGCCACGCCCACCTCGGGACGGGCCACGCCCTCACCTGTCGTCGACGGGGCAGAGCTCCGCCCCCCGGGCGTGGCACATGGCGCGCAGCATCTCCTGCAGGCGGTGGTTACCTGCGCGCAGGTGAGAAGGGGGGCGGGGCCAGAGGGTTGGGCCACGCCCACCTGTCCGTGGACACGCCCTCACGGGGGTGATCACGCCCACAAAATGTGACCACACCCCCAAAATGTGACCACACCCCCAAATGTGACCACACCCCTAAAATGTGACCACACCCCCAAATGTGACCACGCCCCCCATAATTGAAGCCACGCCCCACCCAGGTGTTACCCCGCCCCCCAGGTGTGACCCCGCCCACTCACAGGCCACGCCCCCCACCAGCAGCAGGTGTCTCGCCCGGGTCAGCGCCAGCGCCCGCTCGGTGACCTCGGCCAGCGCCGCGAACGCCGTCTCCTGCCCCAATTAACGCTCGTTAATTAGCGCTAATTAACCCTCTGCATGGTTAATTAACCCCGATTAACCCCGCCCCCAATTAATCACCGTTAATGAGCCCTCCCCCTAATTAATATCCGCCATTAAACATCGGCCAGCGCTGCCAAGGCCGTCTCCTGCCCCAATTAACGCCCGTTAATTAGCGCTAATTAACCCTGCTGCTCATTAATTGCACCCTGCTTAACCCCGCCCTTCATTAATAACCGTTAATTAACCCCGCTCCTGATTAATGAACACAAATTAACCCTGTGCTGAATTAACGCATCCCAAACCGCAATTAACGCCGCCACTAATTAATAAACCCCAATTAAGCCCACCCCAAATTAATAGACCCTAATTAACCCCACCCTAAGTTTATAAATGGTAATTAACCATGCCCCTTCTTAATAAATCCCAATTAAACCCCAATTAATGCCCCAAATCCCAATGAACACCCCCCAAACCTCAATTAACCTAATTAACCCCAATTAATACCCCAAAAACCCAATTATCCTCCCAAAAAACCCCAATTAATGACACCAAATCCTAATTAATACCCCCAAATCCTAATAAATCTAATTAACCCCAATTAAGGCCCCCAAACCCCAATTATCCTCCCAAAAAATCACAATTAATGTCCCCAAGCCCCAATTATTTCCCAAAAAACCCCAATTATTGCCCAAAAAACCCCAATTAACACCCCCAAACCCTAATTAACCTAATTAACCCCAAATAATGCCCCAAACCCCAATTATCCCCCCAAAAAACCACAATTAATGTCCCCAAGCCCCAATTTTTGCCCAAAAAACCCCTATTTTTGCCCAAAAAACCCCAATTATTGCCCAAAAAAACCCCAATTATTGCCCAAAAAACCCCAATTAACGCCCCCATTAATTAATTAACGCTAATTAGCGCGCTAATTAACCTGCAGGGAGAAGCAGAGATCCTCCGGGGTCGCCTCCCCCGACTGCAGCAGCTTCGGGGTCACGGCCTGGGGGGAGTCAGGATTTGGGGAGATTTTGGGGGATTTGGGGAATTTTGGGGGATTTTTGGGATTTTGGAATTTTAGGATTTGGGGATTTGGGGATTTTTGGGATTTGAGGATTTGGGATTTTGGGATTTGGGGATTTGGGGAATTTTGGGTTTGGGATTTTGGGGATTTTGGGATTTGAGGATTTGGGGAATTTTGGGATTTATGTATTTTGGGATTTTGGAATTTTAGGATTTGGGGATTTGGGGATTTTGGGATTTTGGGTTTTACGGATTTTGGGGATTTTGGATTTTAGGTATTTTGGGTTTTTGGGATTTTGGGGTTTGGGGATTTGGGGAATTTTGGGTTTGGTGATTTTGGGGATTTTGGGGATTTGGGGATTTTGGGATTTGAGGATTTGGGATTTTGGGATTTTGGGGATTTGGGGATTTTTGGGTTTAGGATTTTGGGGATTTGTGGAATTTTGGGAATTTTGAGATTTGGGATTTAGGGATTTTGGGTTTGGGGATTTTTGGGATTTCAGGATTTTGGGATTTGAGGATTTGGGATTGGGGGGATTTTGGGATTTTCAGATTTTGGGATTTGGGAATTTTGGGTACCTGCAGGGTTTTGGGGTGAGATCCGGGGATTTTGGGGTCCCTGTAGGGTTTTGGGGTGAGATCCGGGGATTTTGGGGTCCCTGTAGGGTTTTGGGGTGAGATCCGGGGAATTTGGGTCCCTGCAGAGTTTTGGGGTCCCAGAGGTGTTTTTGGGGTGAGTTCTGGGGATTTTGGGTACCTGCAGGTGGGAGAGCAGCCCCGAGAAGGAGACGTCGAGGCCCTTGACCACGTAGGGCAGCGGGAGCAGGCGGCGGCCCCTGCGGTTTGGGGCAAAATCCGGGGGTTTTGGGTCAGACGCGGGATTTGGGGGAAAATCCAGGGGTTTTGGGGGAAAATCCAGGGATTTAGGGGAAAATCCGGGGATTTGGGGTCAGATATGGGGGTTTGGGGTCAGATCCGGGGATTTTGGGTCAGTTTGGGGTCAGATCCGGGGATTTTGGGGTCAGATCCGGGGATTTTGGGGTCAAATCCAGAGATTTTTGGAGTCAGGTTTGGGGTCAGTTTTGGGTCCAGCTTTGGGGTGTTTTGGGTCACTCTGGGGTCAGTTTTGGGGCTATTTTTGGGTTAGTTTTGGGTCACTTTGAGGTCAGTTTTGGGGCCAGTTTTGGGGTGTTTTGGGGTCAGTTTTGTGGCCACTTTTAGGTTAGTTCTGGGGTCAGTTTTGGGGTCAGTTTTGGAGCCACTTTTGGGTTAGTTCTGGGGTGTTTTGGGGTCAGTTTTGGGGTCAGTTTTGGGGCCACTTTTGGGTTAGTTCTGGGGTGTTTTGGGGACAGTTTTAGGGCCACTTTTGGGTTAGTTCTGGGTCACTTTGAGGTCAGTTTTGGGGCCAGTTTTGGGGCCACTTTTGGGTTAGTTCCGGGGTGTTTTGGGGTCAGTTTTGGGGTCAGTTTTGGGGCCACTTTTGGGTTAGTTCTGGGGTGTTTTGGGGTCAGTTTTGAGGTCAGTTTTGGGGCCACTTTTGGGTTAGTTCTGGGGTGTTTTGGGGTCACTTTTGGGGCCACTTTTGGGTTAGTTCCGGGGCTTTTTGGGGTCAGTTTTAGGGTCAGTTTTGGGGCCACTTTTGGGTTAGTTCTGGGGTGTTTTGGGGGCAGTTTTAGGGTCAGTTTTGGGGTCAGTTTTGGGTTAGTTCCAGGGTGTTTTGGGGTAAGTTTTGGGACAAGTTTTGGGTTAGTTCTGGGGTGTTTTGGGGTCAGTTTTGGGGCCATTTTTGGGATCAGTTTTGGGTTAGTTCTGGGGGGTTTTGGGGTCAGTTTTGGGGCCAGTTTTGGGTTAGTTCCGGGGTGTTTTGGGGTCAGTTTTAGGGTCAGTTTTGGGTCAGTTCTGGGGTGTTTTGGGGTCAGTTTTGGGGCCATTTTTGGGATCAGTTTTGGGTTAGTTCTGGGGTGTTTTGGGGTCAGTTTTGGGGCCACTTTTGGGTTAGTTCTGTGGTGTTTTGGTGTCAGTTTTGGGGCCACTTTTGGGTTAATTCTGGGGTGTTTTGGGCTCAGTTTTAGGGTCAGTTTTGGGTTAGTTCAGGGGTATTTTGCTTTCAGTTTTGGGGTCAGTTTTGGGGCCACTTTTGGGTTAGTTCTGGGGTGTTTTGGGGTCAGTTTTGGGGTCAATTTTGGGTTAGTTCCAGGGTGTTTTGGGGTCAGTTTTGGGGCCAGTTTTGGGTTAGTTCCGGGCTGTTTTGGGGTCAGTTTTGGGGCCACTTTTGGGTTAGTTCTGGGATGTTTTGGGGTCAGTTTTAGGGTCAGTTTTGGGGTCAGTTTTGGGGCCAGTTTTGGTTTAGTTCTGGTGTGTTTTGGGGTCAGTTTTGGGGCCACTTTTGGGTTAGTTCTGGGGTGTTTTGGGGACAGTTTTATGGTCACTTTTGGGTTAGTTCCGGGGTGTTTTGGGGTGAGTTTTGGGTTAGTTCTGGGGTGTTTCGAGGTCAGTTTTGGGGTCAGTTTTGTGTCACTTTGTGGTCATTTCGGGGTCACTTTGGGGTCACTTTTAGGTCACTCCAGGGTCATCCCCGCGTCCCTTTTTGGGGCGTTTTTGGGCGGTTTTCGGTCACCTCTTGGCCAGCTGCTCCACGTTGTAGCCGGGGCTGGGAGAGTTTGGGATCTGCGGGAAAATGGGCGGGGTCAGGGAGGGCGTGGCCGGGTGGGCGTGGCCAAATGGGTGTGGTCAATAGGGCGTGGCCGAGGGGGCGTGTCCCACCTGCAGCAGCCGCGCCAGGCGGTCGATGCAGTTGCCCAGCGCCACGTCCAGCGTCTCGCCCAGGATCCGGTACCGGCGCCGCGCGTAGGCGATCACCTGCGGGGGGCCCGGACGGCCACGGCTCGCGATATGTCGCGATAGCGGCCGTTTCCTCGTGATAGCTCGCGATATGTCGCGATATCGGCTTGCTATTGCGTGATATATCGCGATATGCCGCGATACTGGCCCGCTATCACACGATATATCATGATATCGGCCACTAACGCACGATAGCTCGCGATATATCGCGATATCGGCCCGCTATAGTATTATATCGCGCGATATCAGCCGCTATTGCACGATATCTCACAATATATCGCAATATCAGCCCACTAGCGCACGATATATCTCGATATCGGCCACTATCGCATGATATCGCGCGATATCTCACGATATCGGCCCGCTATCGCACGATATCTCTCGATATTGGCTGCTATCGCGTGATAGCTCACGATATATCATGGTATCGGTCCACTATCACATGATATCGCGCGATATCTCGCGATATCGGCCACTGTCGCGTGATAACTCGTAACATATCGCGATCTCAGCCACTTCCTCATGATATCTCGTGATATTGACCGCTTCCTCTTGGTATGTCACGATATCTCGTGATATCGGCCACTATTGCATGATAACTCGTGACATATCACGATATCGGCCGCTTCCTCATGATATTGTGTGATATCGACCACTTCCTCTTGGTATGTCGCGATATATCATGATATCGGCCGCTTCGTCACAATATCTCATGATATCGGCCACTATCGCACGATAACTCACGATATCAGCCACTATCACGCGATAGCTCACGATATCTCGCGATATCAACCGCTTCCTCTTGGTATGTCGCAATATCTCGTGGTATATCGTGATATCGGCCGCTTCCTCACGATATCTCATGATATCGACCGCTTTCTCTTGGTACGTCGCAATATCTCATGATATCGGCCACTATCTCATGATAACTTGCGATATATCACGATATTGACCCCTTTCTCTTGGTATGTCGCGATATCTCGCGATATCGGCCACTATCTCATGATAACTCGCGATATATCGCGATATCGGCCGCTTCTTCACGATATCGACCGCTTTCTCTTGGTATGTCGCGATATCGACCGTTCCCTCCCCCTCACCCCCCCGATATTGCGAGATATCCCTGTGATATCACCCTGCCCCCCCACGATATATCACAATATGGCCCCTCCCCCCACGATATCCCGCGATATATCGCGATATCTTCCCTCCCCCCGCGATATCCCACGATATATCGCGATATGACCCCTCCCCCTGCGATATATCGCAATATGACCCCCCCATCGCCCCCTATCGCCCCCTATCGCGATATATCGCCCCCTATCGCGGCCTAACGCGATATATCGCGGGCTGTCGCTCACCTGTGTGTTGCCGCCGCTGACGTAGAGCACCAGCGGGTCGGGGGCGGCCCCCAGCAGCCGCCCCATCTCGATGTGCCCCACGCAGTGGTTGACGGCCAGCAGGGGGCGCCCCCAGAGCTGCGCCAGCGTCCGCGCCACCGCCGCCACCACCGCCAGCGGGGCGCCCATGCCCGGCCCTGACCCCCCGAAAAATCCCAAAAATCCCACCAAAGGATCAGTGGGAGACCCAAAAATCACCAAAATTCACCCCAGAAAATGACCGGGGACTGGGAGAGGCCAGGAGCACCAAAAATCCCAAAAATCCCCTTAAAAATCCACCAAAACCCCCCCATGGGGTAAGTGGGAGTGTCCAGGGACCCCAACACACCCCCCGGGTCAGTGGGAGAGTCCAGGGAGCCCCAAAAATCAACAAAATCCACCCCAGAAAATGCCCGGGGTCGGGGAGAGTCCAAGAGCCCAAAAATCCCCAAAAATCCCAAAAAAAACCCCCCAAAATCCCCCCTGGGGTGAATGGGATAGTCCAGGGAGCCCCAAAACCCCCCCAGGGGTGAGTGGGATAGTCCAGGGAGCCCAAAACCCCCAAAAATCGCAAAAAACACCCCCAAACCCCCCATGGGATGAGTGGGAGAGTCCAGGGACCCCAAAAATCCCCCAAAACCCCCCCAAAGTGAGTGGGAGAGTCCAGGGACCCCAAAAAACCCAAAATTCCCTCAAAAAATCCCCCCAGAAAACCCCCCCGTGGGATGAGTGGGAGAGTCCAGGAAGCCCCAAAAATCCCAAAATCCCCCCCAAAATCCCTGGGGTGAATGTGAGAGTGCAGGGAGCCCCAAAACCCCAAAAATCCCTCAAAAAACCCCCAAACCCCCCCCCAGGGGTCAGTGGGAGCATCCAGGGACCCCAAAATCCCCCCAAAAATCCCCCCCCCGAGCCCCAATAATGGTCCTGTCCACGGCCATGGGGATCTATGGGGCCTGTGGGGGATCTATGGGGCCTGTGGGGGATCTGTGGGGGATCTGTGGGGCCTGTGAGGCCTTTATGGGGCCTGTGAGGCCTCTGTGGGGCCTGTGGGGGATCTGTGGGGGATCTGTGGAGGATCTGTGGGGTCTGTGGGTGATCTGTGGGGCCTGTGAGGCCTTTATGGGGCCTGTGGGGGATCTATGGGGCCTGTGGGGGATCTATGGGGCCTGTGAGGGATCTATGGGGCCTGTGGGGGATCTATGGGGCCTGTGGGGGATCTATGGGGTCTGTGAGGCCTCTATGGGGTCTGTGAGGCCTCTATGGGGCCTGTGGGGCCTCTCTGGGGCCTGTGAGGCCTCTATGGGGCCTGTGAGGCCTTTATGGGGCCTGTGGGGGATCTATGGGGCCTGTGAGGCCTCTGTGGGGCCTGTGGGGCCTTTATGGGGTCTGTGGGGGATCTGTGGGGTCTGTGAGGCCTTTATGGGGCCTGTGGGGCCTGTGAGGCCTCTATGGGGCCTGTGAGGGATCTATGGGGGATCTATGGGGCCTGTGAGGCCTCTATGAGGCCTCTATGGGGCCTGTGGGGCCTGTGAGGCCTCTATGGGGCCTGTGAGGCCTCCATGGGGCCTGTGAGGCCTTTATGGGGCCTGTGGAGCCTGTGAGGGATCTATGGGGCCTGTGGGGGATCTATGGGGCCTGTGAGGCCTCTGTGGGGCCTGTGAGGCCTCTATGGGGCCTGTGGGGCCTGTGAGGCCTTTATGGGGCCTGTGAGGCCTGTGAGGGATCTATGGGGCCTGTGAGGCCTTTATGGGGCCTGTGGGGCCTGTGGGGGATCTATGGGGCCTGTGGGGGATCTATGGGGCCTGTGGGGGATCTATGGGGCCTGTGAGGCCTCTATGGGGCCCGTGAGGCCTCTATGGGGCCTGTGCGGCCTGTGAGGCCTCTATGGGGCCTGTGAGGCCTCTATGGGGCCTGTGCAGCCCCGTTAATCCCGGTAACCCCGGTAATTAATCCCGGTACCTCTGGTGAACGCCACCCCGTCCAGCTCCCGCGGCTCCACTCCCGCCTCCCGCAGCGCGTCCCGCACCAGCCCCAGCACCGCCGCCCGGTGGTGCCGCCCGGTGGGGCCGGGGGCGAACCCTGCGGGGGCAGCACCGGGCTCAGCACCGGGGGCAGCACCGGGGCGGGGGGGGGGAACCGGGGCGGCGGGGGGGAAGTGACGTCACCGTGTCCCGGCGGCGTGACGTAGGTGGCGCGGCGGTTGCTGAGGACGGCGCCGTCCCGCACCACCCCCGCCCCCACCTTGTTGGCGGAGCCCTCCAGCCCCAGCACGGTCGGCATGACGTCACGGCCGGTACGCCGCCGGTGACGTCAAACCGCCGCCGCTCTTCCTCCTCCTCCTCCTCCTCCTCCTCCTCCTCTTCTTCTTCTTCCGGTTCCGGCCACGCCCCCTCCGCCTCGCGGCTCCGCTGTTCCCGCGCGCGCGGAGCCGCTCGCGCCCCGTTCCCGCCGCCGCCGCCGCGGCCGCTGATTGGTCCCGCGCGCCGCCGCCGCGGCCGCCGATTGGTCAGCGCGGAGGAGGCTGAGGTACGGCGGCCGCTGATTGGTCAGCGCGTGGCTGAGGTACGGCAGGCGCTGATTGGAGGGTCAGCGCGGGGCTGAGGTACGGCGGGCGCTGATTGGTTGGTCACCGCAAGGGCTGGGGTACGGCGGGCTCTGATTGGTCAGCGCGCCGCTGAGGTACGGCGGTTACTGATTGGTCAGCGCGGGGCTGAGGTACGGCGGGCGCTGATTGGTTGGTCACCGCGTGGCTGAGGCACGGCGGGCGCTGATTGGTTGGTCACCGCAAGGGCTGGGGTACGGCGGGCGCTGATTGGTTGGTAACCGCGCGGGGGCTGAGGTACGGCGGGTTGTGATTGGATGGGGGGGGGGGGGGCTGAGGTACGGCGGGCGCTGATTGGTCAGCGCGCAGGGTTGTGGGGGGGGCTGAGGTACGGCGAGCGCTCATTGGTCGTTCACCGCGTGGCTGAGGCACGGCGGGCGCTGATTGGTTGGTCACCACGCGGGCTGGGGCACGGAGGGCACTGATTGGTCCCGGCGGGGCTGAGGTATGGCGGGCGCTGATTAGACGCGAGGGCTGAGGTACGGCGGGCTCTGATTGGCCGCCGCGGTGTGGGGGGGGGGGAAAGAGGCGCGCTCTGATTGGCCGGGCCGCGGCGTGTAGGCGGGGTTTGAAGCCGCGGCGCGCTCTGATTGGCTCCCTTTCATTCGCAGGGGCGGGGCCAGCGCCATGCCGAAGCGCGGGAAGAAGAAGGAGGAGGAGGAGGAGAGCGGCGGGGACGGCACGGGTGAGTGACCGGCACTGACCAGTATAAACCAGTATAACCCAGTACGGACCAGTTAGGGACCAGTACGGACCAGTACGGACCGCTCGTGTATCCCCGTGCTCCCAGTAACCCCGCCCCCACACCCCCAGTCCATCCCAAACCCTCCCAGTCCCCCCCAGTCCATCCCAGTTTATCCCAGTCCCCCCCAGTCCCCCCCAATCCCCTCCCAGTTTATCCCAGTTGCCCCCAATCCCTCCCAGTCCCCCCCAATCCCCTCCCAGTCCATTCCAGTTCCCCCTCAGTCCCTCCCAGTCCATCCCAATCCCCTCCCAGTCGCTCCCAGTCCCCCTCAATTCCCTCCCAGTCCCCCCAGTCCCTCCCAGTTCCTCCCAGTCCCCCCCAGTCCCCCCCAATCCCCTCCCATTTCATTCCCAGTCCCTCCCAGTCCATCCCAGTTTATCCCAGTCCCACCCAATCCCCTCCCAGTTCCCCCCAGTCTGTCCCAGTCCAATCCCAGTCCCTCCCAGTCCATCCCAGTCCATCTCAGTTTATCCCACTCTCCTCCCAGTCCATCCCAGTTCCTTCCAGTTCCCCCCAGTTCCCTCCCAGTTTAACCCAGTCCACCCCAATCCCCTTCCAGTCCCCCCCAGTCCCTCCCAGTCCCCCCCAATCCCCTCCCAGTTTATCCCAGTTTATCCCAGTCCCCCCCCAATCCCCTCCCAGTCCATCCCAATCCCCTCCCAGTCCCTCCCAGTCCCCCCCAATCCCCCCAAACCCCTCCCAGTATAAACCAGTCCCCCCAGTTTACCCCATCCCCCCCCCCCCCCGCAGGCCCCAGCCCCGCCAAGGCGGCGCGGGCGTGTCCGGCCCCGCCCTACGAGGACCCGCCCCCGCGGGAGGCCACGCCCGAGGGGCGGCGCTGGACGCTCAAGGTCAGCTCCTGGAACGTGGACGGGCTGCGGGCGTGGCTGCGCAAGGGCGGGGCACAGGTACGTGGGCGGGGCCTCGGGAAAGGGGGTGGGGCTTGTCAGGCTGCGGGCGTGGCTGCGCAAGGGCGGGGCACAGGTGAGTGGGCGGGGCCCAGGTGAGCGGGGCGGGGCTCAGGTGAGCGGGGCGGGGCTTGTTCGGGAGGGGGCGGGGCTTCAGAGGGGGCGGGGCTTGTCAGGCAGCGGGCGTGGCTGCGCAAGGGCGGGGCCCAGGTGAGTGGGCGGGGCTCAGGTGAGGGGGCGGGGCCTCGGGAAAGGGGGTGGGGCTTGTGGATTTGGGGGCGGGGCTTGTGGGTTTGGGGGAGGGGCCTATTGGGATTCCCTGGCGCCATTTGGGGGTTCCCAGGTGTAAATTTTGGGGTCCCCCACCCCCCGGTGTAATTTGGGGATTCCCAGGTGTAATTTTTGGGTTCCCCGGTGCAGTTTCGGGGCTCCCCGGTGCAATTTTGGGATTGGTGCAGTTTTGGGGTTCCCCTGTGTAATTTTGGGGTTCCCCTGTGTAATTTTGGGGTTCCCTCGTATAATTTGGGGTTCTCTGGTGTAATTTTGGGGTTCCAGTATAAATTTGGGTTTCCTGCAGTTTTGGGTTCCCTAGTGTAATTTTGGGTTCTCCTGTGTAATTTGAGGGTTCCCGGGTGTAATTTTGGAGTTCCCCAGTGCAATTTCGAGTTTCCTGCAGTTTTGGGGTTCCCAGGTGTAATTTTGGGGTTCTCCTGTATAATTTTGGTGTTCCCCGGTGCAATTTTGGGATTTCTGCAGTTTTGGGGTTCCCCTGTATAATTTTGGGGTTTCCCTGTATAATTTTGGTTTCCCCCTGTATAATTTTGGGGTTCCCGTGTATAAATTTTGGATTCCCCTGTATAAATTTTGGGTTGCCTTGTAGAATTCGGGGTTCCCCTGTATAATTTTGGGTTACCCCTATATAATTTTGGTTTTCCTCTGTATAATTTTGGTTTTCCCCTATATAATTTTGCTTTTTCCCAGTATAATTTTGGGTTTCCCTGTATAAATTTTGGGTTCCCTGATATAAATTTTGGTTTTCCCCTGTATAATTTCACTTTTCCCCTGTATAATTCTGGGTTCCCTGGTATAATTTTGGGTTCCCCTGAATAATTTTTGGTTCCCTGGTATAATTTTTGGGTTCCCCACTATAAATTTTGGGTTCCCTGGTATAATTCCGGGGTTCCCCTGTATAATTTTTGGGTTCCCCTGTATAATTTTGGTTTTTCCTGTATAATTTTGCTTTTCCCCTGTGTAACTTTGGTTTTTCCCTGTATAATTTTGGGTTCTCTGGTATAAATTTTGGATTCCCCTGTATAATTTTGAGTTCCCTGGTATAAATTTTGGGTTCCCTGGTATAAATTTTGGGTTCCCTGGTATAAATTTTGGGTTCCCCGCTATAAATTTTGGGTTCCCTGGTAAAATTTTGGGTTCCCTGGTATAAATTTTGGTTTTTCCTGTATAATTTTGGGTTCCCCTATATAATTCCAGGGTTCCCCTGTATAATTTTGGGTTCCCTGGTATAAATTTTGGATTCCCCTGTATAAATTTCGGGGTTCCCCGGTACAAATTTCGGGGTTCCCCGGCAGTGGGTGCAGGAGGAGGCGCCGGACGTGCTGTGCCTGCAGGAGACCAAGTGCGCGGCGGCGGCGGTGCCGGCGGAGGTGCGGGCGCTGCCGGGGCTGCCGCACCAGTTCTGGTGCAGCGCCAAGGACCGGCCGGGCTACAGCGGCGTGGGGCTGCTGGCGCGCAGCGAGCCGCTGGACGTCACCTACGGCATCGGTGAGGGCCGGATGGACCCAAATCCGGCTGGAAATGCCCCAAAATTACCCTCAAATCCGCCTGGAAATGCCCCAAAATTACCCCCGAATCTGGCTGGAAATGCCCCAAAAGTGTCCCTAAAATCCGCCTGAAACTGCCCCAAAAGTGTTCCTGAAATAGGCCTGGAACTGCCCCAAAATTACCCCCGAATCCGGCTGGAAATGCCCCAAAAGTGTCCCTGAAATCGGCCTGGAAATGCCCCAAAATTACCCCCCAATCCGCCCGAAAATGCCCCAAAATTACCCCCAAATCCGCCTTAAAATGCCCCAAAAGTGTCCCTGAAACCGGCCTGGAACTGCCCGGAAATCACTCCGAAATTGGCCTGAAAATGCCCCAAAAGTGTTCCTGAAACCGGCCTGGAACTGCCCCAAAATTATCCTGAAACTGCCCCAAAAGTGTCCTTGAAATCAGCCTGAAACTGCCCCAAAATTACCCCAAAATCGGCCTGGAAATGCCCCAAAAGTGTCCCTGAAATCAGCCTGAAACTGCCCCAAAAATTACCCCCGAATACGCCTGAAACTGCCCCAAAAGTGTCCCTGGAAACGGCCTGGAACTGCCCTGAAACCACCCCAAAATCAGCCTAAAACTGCCCCAAAATCACCCTGGAACTGCCCCAAAAGTGGCCCTGAAACCGGCCTGAAACTGCCCCGAAATTACCCCCAAATCCGGCTGGAACTGCCCCAAAAGTGTCCCTGAAATCAGCCTGGAAATGCCCCAAAATTACCCCCAAATCGGCCTAAAAATGCCCCAAAAGTGTTCCTGAAACTGCCCTGAAATCGGCCTGAAACTGCCCCAAAATTACCCCCGATCCGGCTGGAAATGCCCCAAAATTATCCCCGAATCCGGCTGGAAATGCCCCAAAATTACCCCCAAATCGGCCCGGAAATGCCCCAAAAGTGTCCCTGAAATTGGCCCAAAAATGCCCCAAAAGTGTTCCTGAAATTGGCCTGGAACTGCCCCAAAAGTGTCCCTGAAATCGGCCTGGAACTGCCCCAAAATTACCCCCAAATCCGCCCGAAAATGCCCCAAAAGTGTCCCTGAAATCAGCCTGAAACTGCCCCAAAACTGCCCCAAAATTATCCTGATAATGCCCCAAAATCGGCCTGAAATGTTCCCGAAATCAGACTGAAACTGCCCCAAAAATTTCCCAAAATCCACCTGAGATTGTGCCCAGAAATCCACTCCAGCTCTCTCCCAGTCGCCCCAGTTCCTCCCAGTCCCTCCCAGTCCCTCCCAATCTCCTCCCAGTCCCTCCCAGTCCATCCCAGTCCCCCCCAATCCCCCCCAATCCCTGCCAGTCCCCCCCCAATCCCCTCCCAGTCCCTCCCAGTTCGTTCCAAATCCCCTCCCAGTCCCCTCCCAGTCCCTCCCAGTCCCCCCCAATCCCCTCCCAGTCCCTCCCAGTTTGTTCCAAATCCCTCCCAGTCCCCCCCAATTCCCTCCCAATCCCCCCCCAATCCCTTCCCAATCCCCCCCAGTCTCTCCCAGTCCCTCCCAGTCCCCCCCAATCCCCCCCAATCCCCTCCCAGTCCGTCCCAGTCCCCCCCAATCCTCCTTCAATACCCCCAATTCCCTCCCAGTCCCTCCCAGTCCCCTCCCAGTCCATCCCAATCCCTTCCCACTCCCCTCCAATCCTCCCCCAATCCCCTCCCAGTCCCTCCCAATCCCCTCCAGTCCCCCCCACTCCCCTCCAGTCCCTCCCACTCCCCTCCACTCCCCTCCCAGTCCCTCCCAGTCCCCCCCAGTCCATCCCAGTCCCTCCCAGTCCCCTCCCAATCCACTCCAAATTCCCCCAATCCCCTCCCAGTCCCTCCCAATCCGTTCCAAATCCCCTCCAGTTCCCTCCCAGTCCCTCCCAGTCCCCCCATTTCACCTCAAACCCCCCATCCCGTCCCCGCAGGCGACCCGGAGCACGACGCCGACGGCCGGGTGCTGACGGCCGAGTTCCCGTCGCTGTTCGTGGTGTGCGCCTACGTGCCCAACGCCGGCCGGGGGCTGGTGCGCCTGGAGCCGCGCCTGCGCTTCGACGCCGCCTTCCTGCAGTTCCTGCGCCGCCTGGACGCGCGCAAGCCCGTGCTGCTGTGCGGCGACCTCAACGTGGCGCACGCCGACATCGACCTGTGCCACCCGCGCGCCAACCGCGCCAGCCCCGGCTTCACGCCGCAGGAGCGCGACGGCTTCTCCCGCCTGCTGGCCGCCGGCTTCGTCGACTCCTTCCGCCACCTGTACCCGGCGGCGCGCGGCGCCTTCACCTTCTGGACCTACCTGGGCGGCGCGCGGGCGCGCAACGTGGGCTGGCGGCTGGACTACGCCGTGGTCTCGCAGCGCCTGCTGGGGGCGCTCTGCGACTCCAAGATACGCAACACCGTGCCGGGCAGCGACCACTGCCCCATCACCGCGCTGCTGGCGGTCTAGGGCCGGAACGCGACGGGGTTCCCGGGAAAGCGATCGAAGGTGGGGTCTGGCGGCGTTGTGGGTTCGTAGTTGGGGGTGGTTTGGTGTAATTTGGACCAAAATTGGCTTAAATTGGCTCAAAATCGCTCAAAGTTGGAGTTGGGTGGAGTTGTCTGTTTTTAATTGGATGTGTCTTGGCTCGGTTTGGCCCAAAATTGGCTTAAATTCACTCAAAATCGATCACAGTTGGAGTTGAGTGGAGTTGTCTGTTTTTAATTGGAGTGTCTTGGCTCAGTTTTGCCCAAAATCGGCTTAAATTGGCTCCAAATCATTCAAAGTTGGAGCTTGGTGGCATTCTGTCTTTTTAATTGGAAGTGTTTTGGCTCAATTTGGCCCAAAATCAGCTTCAATTTGCTCAAAATTGATCAAACTTGAAGTTTGGCAGCATTGTCTGTTCTTAGTTGGAGGTGTTTTGGATAAATTTGGCCCAAAATTGGCTTAAATTGGCTCAAAATCGCTCAACGTTGGAGTTTGATGACGTTGTCCGCCTTTGATTGGCCCAAAATTGGCTTAAAATCAACCAAAATTGGCTTTAAATCACCCAAAGTTGGAGTTTAGTGTTGTCTGTTCTTAATTGGAGGTGTCTTGGCTCAATTTGGCCCAAAATTGGCTTAAATTCACTCAAAATCACTCAAACTTGGAGTTTAATGATACTGTCTGTGTCTGTTTTTAATTGGACGTGTTTTGGCTCTATTTGGCCCAAAATCAGCTCAAATTTGCTCAAAATCAAAGTTGGAGCTTGACGACGTTGTCCACCTTTGATTGGACGTGTTTTGGATCAAATTGGACCAAAATTGGCTTAAATTGGCTCAAAATGCCTTAAAGTTGGAGCTTGTGCTGTCTGTTTTTAATTGGAGGTGTTTTGGCTCAATTTGGCCCAAAATTGGCTTAAATTGGCTCAGAATCACTCAAAGTTGGATTTTGATGGTGTTTGCTTTTATTTGGGCGTCTTTTGGCCCAATTTGGCTCAAATTTGGCCCAAAATTGGCTCGGAATTAATCAAACTTAAATCAAGTCAAAATTGCCTTAAATTGGCTCAAAACCACCCAAAGTTGGGCGCTGATGACGTCACCAAAGCCAAACTGGAACCCCCCACTTTTAATCAAGTGAACATTGACCCAAAACCCCCCGAAATTGACCCAAAATAGTTTTGATGACGTCGCCGAGGCCAAGGCCACGCCGCCCGCCTTGACCCGAACCCAAAATCGCCCAGAAATGACCCAAAACCGCCCAGAAATGACCCAAAACCGCCTGGAACTGCCCCGGTTCGGGCGTTGATGACGTCATCAATGCCAAGATGGCGCCCAGCCCTCGTTTTTACCCAAATCCCCCCAAAACGCCCCAAATTTGGGGTGCTCTCAGGTGCTGCCCTACCCAGACCCAAAACCGCCCCAAACCTCCCCAAATCCTCTCCCGCCCCTCCCCCACCCCACGTAGGCCCCGCCCCCTTTAGGCCACGCCCCTTTCCCCGCGGTATTATAATAAAGGTGAACTTTGGGGTGAAACTTCGGGATTTTGGGTTTATTTACACTCTGGCCCCACCCCCAAGTGGGCGTGGCCAGCCAATAAATAACGCTGTACAAGGGGGCGGGGCTTATGTACAAGTGGGCGGGGCCTGGGGCATGCAGAAGGGGCGGGGCCATGCAAAAGAGGGCGGGGCCGGGAGTGGGTTATTTGCCCGATAACCAACGGGGGCGTGGCTGTGTGACGTCATCGCGACCGTGGGCGTGTCCCACGGGCAGGGGGCGTGTCCCACGGTGAAGAGGGCGGGGCCAGGAGTGGATTATTTGCCCGATAACCAACGGGGCGTGGCCGTGTGACGTCATCGCGGCCGTGGGCGTGTCCCATGGGCAGGGGGCAGGGCCAGGAGTGGTTTATTCGCCCAATAACCAACGGGGCGTGTCCCACGGTGAAGGGGGCGGGGCCAGGAGTGGATTATTCGCCCAATAACCAATGGGGCGTGTCCCACGGTGAAGGGGGCGGGGCCAGGAGTGGATTATTCGCCCGATAACCAATGGGGCGTGTCCCAAGGGCAGGGGGCGGGGCCAGGAGTGGATTATTCGCCTGATAACCAACGGGGCGTGGCCGTGTGATGTCATCGCGACCGTGGGTGTGTCCCAGGGGAGGGGGCGGGGCCAGGAGTGGATTATTCGCCCGATAACCAATGGGGCGCGTCCAACGGCGAAGGGGGCGGGGCCAGGAGTGGATTATTCACCCGATAACCAACGGGGCGTGTCCCACAGCGAAGGGGCGGGGCCAGGAGTGGATTATTCGCCCGATAACGCACGGGGCGTGTCCCACGGCGAAGGGGGCGTGTCCCACGGGCAGGGGGCGTGTCCCACAGGCAGGGGGCGGGGCCAGGAGTGGATTATTCGCCCGATAACGCACAGGGCGTGTCCCACGGCGAATAGGGCGTGTCCCACGGGCAGGGGGCGTGTCCCACGGGCTGGGGGCGTGGTCAGGCCCGCGGGGGGAGGGGCTGGCTGACCCGCACGCAGCCCCAATAGGCCGCCCGCAGCAGACACGCCCCCGCGCCCGCCCCCAGCACCGCCCACGCCGCCGGCACCCACCGCGCCCGCCGCCACAGCCACCACGTCCCGGCCTGGGCGGGGCACCGGGGGGGCGTGGTCAGTGCCGATGGCCACGCCCCCTTGCGCTGTCATTGCTGCTTTTAGCCCCACCCACTTGTGCCACACCCATTTGGTCATACCCACTAAAGCCACGCCCCTTTCCCCCCTTTATTCAACCCCAGCCACGCCCCCTCATAACTTTATGCAGACTCCACCCCTTTAGGCCACACCCACCAAAACCACACCCACTTTCCCACCTCATTAACCCCAGCCACGCTCCCCTGAAGCCACACCCCTTTCATTGCCCAATTCACTCCCCAGCCACGCCCCCTCATAAATTTATGCAGACTCCACCCCTTTAGGCCACACCCACTTAAGTCACGCCCCTTCCCCATCTAATTTAACCCCAGCCACGCCCCATTGAAGCCACGCCCAGTTTCCCCACCTCATTTAACCCAAGCCACGCCCCCTCATTACTTTATGCAGACTCCACCCCTTTAGGCCACACCCACTGAAACCACGCCCCACTCCCCCCTCATTAACCCCAGCCACGCCCCCTTTAAGCCACGCCCCTTTCCCACCTCATTAACCCATAGCCACGCCCCCTCAATACTTTATGCAGACTCCACCCCTTTAAGCCACACCCACCAAAGCCATGCCCCCTTTCCTTAATTAATTCAACCCCAGCCACGCCCCCCTGAAGCCACGCCCCTTCCCTAATTAAAGCAGCCCCAGCCACGCCCCCTGAAGCCACGCCCCTTTCCCACACCTCAATCAACCCCAGCCACGCCCCCTCATAAGTTTATGCAGACTGCACCCTTTTAGGCCACACCCACCAAAGCCACCCCCCTTTCCCGCCTCATTAACCCCAGCCACGCCCCTTTAAGCCCCGCCCCTCAGGCCCCGCCCTCACCGCCAGCCCGGCCGCGGCCCCGCCCATCAGCAGCGCCCCCATCAGGCAGCAGAGGCAGCGGCGCCGCGGGAACCGCCGGCCAATCGCAGACCTGGGCGTGGCCAGAGGGGCGTGGTCACCTCCTGATCCACCACGCCCACCGGGGGGCGTGGCCAGCGCCAGCCACGCCCAAAAGGGGCGGGGTTTACTTACACCTTGCGGCAGTGCGGGCAGCGGGCCAGGGAGCGGTCGGGGAGCTCCGCCCACTGCGAAAGGGGCGTGGTTAAAGGGGGCGTGGTTTAACGGGGCGTGGCAGTGTGGGCGTGGCTAAAAGGGGCGTGTCTCACCAGGAAGGGGCCGCCGCAGTGGGCGCAGGCCACGCGCACCCCGCCGGGAGGAGGGTCCGGGCTGGGCGCCCCCGAGTGCACCGGGCCCAGGTTGATGATGCGCTTACTGGGAGAACTGGGTTATACTGGGAGGGGGCGGGGCCGGGCCCCGGGGAGCCCGGGGCAGAGAGGGGACCGCTCCCAGTGCTCCCAGTATGGACCAGGGACTGCTCCCGGTGCTCCCAGTATGGACCGGTCATCCCAGTATGGCCCAGTGACCGCTCCCAGTAATCCCAGTATGGCCCAGTGACCGCTCCCAGTAATCCCAGTATGGCCCAGTGACTGCTCCCAGGAATCCCAGTATGGCCCAGTATGGCCCAGTGACCTCTCCCAGTATGGACCAGTAATCCCAGTATGTCCCATTATGGCCCAGTGGCTGCTCCCAATGCTCCCAGTATGGCCCAGTGACCTCTCCCAGTATGGACCAGTCGTCCCAGTATGTCCCATTATGGCCCAGTGACTGCTCCCAGTAATCCCAGTATGGCCCAGTGACCTCTCCCAGTATGGACCGGTAATACCAGTATGGACCAGTCATCCCAGTATGTCCCATTATGGCCCAGTGGCTGCTCCCAATGCTCCCAGTATGGCCCAGTGACCTCTCCCAGTCCCTCCCAGTCCCCCCCAGTCCCTCCCAGTGCCTGTCCCAGTGCTCCCAGTCCCTCCCAGTCCCTCCCAGTCCCCCCCAGTCCCTCCCAGTCCCCCCCAGTCCCTCCCAGTCCCCTCCCAGTTCCCCCCAATCCCTCCCCAGTCCCTCCCAGTCCCTCCCAGTCCCTCCCAGTCCCCCCCAGTCCCCCCCAGTGCCCGTCCCAGTGCTCCCAGTCTGACCAGTATGGCCGGGGGCAGGCGATGCGCTGGGCCGAGGCGCGGCACACCAGCAGGCAGTTGCAGGGGCACCGCACGTACTTCTTCCCGCCGGGGGCCGTGCGGATTGGCTGCCGCCGCGCGGGGAGGGCGGGGCCTCAGCGGGACACGCCCACTCCGGGCCACGCCCGTCCCTTAACCACCCAAACCCCGCCCCAAACCGGCTGAGGCCACGCCCACGTCTCTTCCCCAAGCCACGCCCCTAAACCACACCCAATGCATGCCACGCCCCCTCCTGCAAGCCACGCCCACTGTGGTCACACCCAATCCGCACCACACCCAATCCGCACCACGCCCCCATAGGCCACACCCCTTCTCTCCCCAAGCCACGCCCACTCTGGCCACACCCAATCCATGCCACACCCACTCCACACCACGCCCCAATAGGCCACACCCCTTCTCTTCCCAAGCCACGCCCACAGAGGCCACGCCCACAGAGGCCACACCCAATCCTTTTCCCAAAGCCCCGCCCTCCGCAGGCCACGCCCAATCCCCTTCCCGCCTCCCCCGGGAAGCCACGCCCTCTTTAGGCCCCGCCCCCCTGAGGCCCCGCCCCTCACCGTGGCCTCGCCACACCCACCGCACTTGACCACGTGCTGGTGCGCCTTCCCCTCCACGCTGATTGGCCGCTGGCACACGCGGCACGTGACCGCCGGCGGCCCCGCCCCCGCCGCCTCGGGGCTGCCCAGCGGCGAGAAAGGGGGCGGGGCCTCGCCGGGCTCCGCCCCTCCGCCGCCTGGCAAAGCGGCGCGGCGCGGTTAGCCACGCCCACGCGAAACCACGCCCGTTATCCCGGTAGGCCCCGCCCCCTCGTCTCTCCCGGTCTCTCACCGGCGGCCGCGGCCCCGCCCGGGCCCGGCCCCGCCTCGGGCGGCAGCAGCGGCGAGCGCTCCCCGTCCGCCATGATGACAGCGCGTCGGGACACGCCCCTCCGCCAGCCATTGGTCGGCAGGGGCGTCACGTGAGGGCGGCCCGCCACCCTCGGCGCGCTCCCATTGGTTCCGCGGGGTCACTTGACCCTCCGTCCCCGCGGCGTTGCCAGGCAACGCCTCCCTTCCCCTCAGGGCTACGCGCGTTCCTATTGGCCGCGCCGACTCACGTGATTCTTCCCCGCCGCGTTGCCTGGCAACCCTTCCCTTTCCCCTCAAGGCTACGCGCGTTCCCATTGGCCCGCCGGGCCCCACGTGACGGCGTTGCCAAGGCAACGCCCTCCCCACTCGCGCGCCGCTTCCTGGTTTCTTTTTATTTTTTTTCCTCCTTTTCCTCGCGCTCTCATTGGCCCTCCCGCCCCACGTGATCCTTCCCGCCCCCCGTTGCCATGGCAACACCCCCTCTCAAGATCTTCTCTTCCGCGTTCCCCACCCCGCCCTCCCATTGGTCGCCGCCGACCTCATGTGATCTCCCTCCGTCTCCTCCCCCCCTCCGAGCCTTCCCATTGGCCGCCTCCCCCGCGCGCCGCGCTCCCATTGGCCGCCGCTCCCGCCGGGCCGTCGCCATGGCGACGGCGCCCGGGGCGGTGCGGCCGCCGATTGGTGGAGGCTCGGGGGCGGGTGACGTCAGGGGGCGGGGCCGTTTATAAGCGGGCGGCGCGGGGCCGGCGGCGCAGACGCGGCCGCGATGGACGGGAGGTGAGAGCGGAGGGCGGGGGTGGATTTTGGGGCGAATTCCGGCGATTTTGGGGCTTTTTTTGGCGATGGGAGGGGCTGGGGCAGGGGGATCATCCAATGGGAACGCGGGTGGAGGGTCTGGCGCCGCCAGCGCGGCCAATCAGCGCTCAGAGGGCGTGGCCAGGGGGATTGGAGACCCCCCCCAGAATTAGGAGGGAGGGCAGGGGGGAGGATTTTGGGGGATTTTGGGGTTTTTTAGGGTTTTTTGGGGTTTTCGGAGGGGCGGGGCGGTGCCAGCCCGGTCCCAAGTCCGCCTGGCCCCGGGCCCGGCCGCGGGGCGAGAGTCAAGGTCGGGCTGGGGGGGGAGCGGGGGGGCGGGGGGGTCCCGGGGTCAAACCGGGGTCATCCTGGGGTCATCCTGGGGTCATCCCGGGGTCATCCTGGGGTCATCACGGGGTCATCACGGGGTCAGCCCGGGGTCATCCTGGGGGTCAGACTGGTCCATCCTGGTCCAGACTGATTCATACTGGTCCATATTGGTCCATCCTGGTCCATCCTGGTCCATACTGGTCCATCCTGGTCCTTACTGGTCCATACTGGTCCATGATGCTCCTTAGTAATTTGTACTGGTCCATACTGGTCCATCCTGCTGCCAAACTGGTCCATACTGGTCCATCCAGATGCCAGACTGATTCATACTGGTCCGTCCTGGTTCATACTGGTCCATACTGGTCCATACTGGTCCATCCTGGTCCATCCTGGTCCATATTAGTCCATACTGGTCCATATTAGTCCATACTGGTCCATCCGGGTCCATACTGGTCCATACTGGTCCAGAATGGTCCATAGTGGTCCAGAATGGTCCATAGTGGTCCGTGATGGTTCGTACTGGTCCATACTGGTCCAGAATGGTCCATAGTGGTCCATGATGGTCCATACTGGTGCCAAACTGGTCCATCCTGGTCCATCCTTGTCCGTATCGGTTTATACTGGTGCCATACTGGTCCCCAACTGGTCTGTACTGGTCCCCAACTGGTCCATACCAGTTTATACTGGTGCCATACTGGTCCCTAACTGGTCCATACTGGTCCCTAACTGGTCCATACTGGTCTCCAACTGGTCCATACCAGTTTATACTGGTGCCATACTGGTGCCAAACTGGTCCACACCTGTCCATCCTGGTCCATACTGGTCTATGATGGTTCGTACTGGTCCATACTGGTCCAGAATGGTCCATACTGGTGCCATACTGGTCCCCAACTGGTCCATACCTGTCCCTAACTGGTCCGTACTGGTCCATGATGGTTTGTACTGGTCCATTGTGGTCCATACTGGTCCCTAACTGGTTTATACTAGTGCCAAACTGGTTTATACTGGTCCCTAACTGGTTTATACTGGTCCCTAACTGGTCCATACTGGTCCGTAACTGGTCCATACTGGTCCAGAATGGTCCATAGTGGTCCATCCTGGTCCGTACTGGTGCCAAACTGGTTTATACTGGTGCCAAACTGGTGCCAAACTGGTTTATACTGGTGCCAAACTGGTCCATACTGGTCCATGATGGTTCGTATTGGTCCGGAATGGTCCATACTGGTGCCAAACTGGTGCCAAACTGGTTTATACTGGTTTATACTGGTGCCAAACTGGTTTATCCCGGCCCCCCAGTTTCGAGGCGTGCGCGGAGGCGGCGCGCTGGCTGCGGGCGCAGTTCCGGGAGCAGCCGCGGGTGGCGCTGGTGTGCGGCTCGGGGCTGGGGGCGCTGGCGCAGGACGTGAGCGACGCGCAGAGCTTCGAGTACCGCGACATCCCGCACTTCCCGCGCAGCACCGGTACTGGGGGCACTGGGGGGGACTGGGAGGGGTTTGGGGGGGACTGGGAGGGACTGGGGAATGGGACAGACCCGGTTACTGGGGTTACTGGGAGCACTGGGAGCACTGGGAGCACTGGGAGCTGAGCTTCGAGTACCGCGACATCCCGCACTTCCCGCGCAGCACCGGTACTGGGGGCACTGGGATGGACTGGGAGGGGTTTGGGGGGGACTGGGGAATGGGACAGACCCGGTTACTGGGGTTACTGGGAGCACTGGGAGCACTGGGAGCACTGGGAGCACTGGGAGCACTGGGAGCTGAGCTTCGAGTACCGCGACATCCCGCACTTCCCGCGCAGCACCGGTACTGGGGGCACTGGGGGGGACTGGGAGGGACTGGGAGGGACTGGGGAACGGGACAGACCCGGTTACTGGGGTTACTGGGGGTACTGGGAGCACTGGGAGCACTGGGAGCACTGGGAGCTGAGCTTCGAGTATGGCGACATCCCGCACTTCCCGCGCAGCACCGGTACTGGGATGGACTGGGAGGGACTGGGAGGGACTGGGGAACGGGACAGACCCGGTTACTGGGGTTACTGGGGTTACTGGGAGCACTGGGAGCACTGGGAGCTGAGCTTCGAGTACCGCGACATCCCGCACTTCCCGCGCAGCACCGGTACTGGGAGGGACTGGGATAAACTGGGATGGACTGGGAGGGGTTTGGGGGGGACTGGGAGCACTGGGAGCACTGGGAGCTGAGCTTCGAGTACCGCGACATCCCGCACTTCCCGCGCAGCACCGGTACTGGGAGCGACTGGGAGGGACTGGGAGGGACTGGGAGGGGATTGGGGGGGACTGGGATGGGACTGGAACAAACTGGGGGGGACTGGGAGGGACTGGGAGGGACTGGGAGGGACTGGGAGGTGAGCTTCGAGTACCGCGACATCCCGCACTTCCCGCGCAGCACCGGTACTGGGATGGACTGGGATGGACTGGGAGGGACTGGGAGGGACTGGGAGGGACTGGGAGCACTGGGGGGATGGGACAGACCCGGTTACTGGGGTTACTGGGGTTACTGGGGTTACTGGGAGCACTGGGAGCACTGGGAGCTGAGCTTCGAGTACCGCGACATCCCGCACTTCCCGCGCAGCACCGGTACTGGGGGCACTGGGAGGGACTGGGGGGGACTGGGAGGGGATTCGGGGGGATTGGGATGGACTGGGATGGACTGGGAGGGACTGGGGGGGACTGGGAGGGACTGGGAGGGACTGGGATGGGACTGGGATGGACTGGGATGGGACTGGAACAAACTGGGATGGACTGGGAGGGACTGGGAGGGACTGGGATGCAATTCAGGGGGATTGGGATGGACTGGGATGGACTGGGAGGGACTGGGATGGGACTGGAACAAACTGGGATGGACTGGGAGGGACTGGGATGGACTGGGAGGGACTGGGAGGGACTGGGAGGGACTGGGAGGGAACTGGGAGGGACTGGGAGGCGATTCGGGGGGATTGGCATAAACTGGGATGGACTGGGATGGGACTGGAACAAACTGGGATGGACTGGGATGGGACTGGAACAAACTGGGATGGACTGGGATGGGACTGGAACAAACTGGGATGGACTGGGATGGGACTGGCAGCACTGGGAAGGACTGGGAGCACTGGGAGCACTGTTTTTGGGTGGATTTTGGGGAATTTTGGGGTTTTTGGGCGTGGCCGGAGCGCGGAGTGGGCGTGGTGACCCCCGGCCCCGCCCCCAGTGCCGGGCCACGCCGGGCGATTGGTCGTCGGGCGCCTTGGCTCCGCCCCCTGCGCCATCCTGCAGGGCCGGTTCCACCTGTACGAGGGGTACAGCTCCACCCAGGTGAGGGGGGTCACCTGGGCCACGCCCACTCA